ACTGTTTGAATTCTGCCATTTGCGTCGAAATAAAATTCACGTGCTCAGAGCAATGCGTTTTAAGTCGGTATGTGTTCATGCGTGGGGTGGGAGAGGTCGGCGAATAGGTAAGAAAAAAATAAGCTAAAACTTATTTGAGAAATATAGAAAGTGAAAAAGCAATATTAATAAATAAAATGCGAAAAAGAGATACAGAGAAAGAGAGAGAGAGAGAGAGAGAGAGAGAGAGAGAGAAAGAGAGATTAGTAATTATGCCATTTAAGTGAATGAGACTGAGACCAACGATGTGTCATCATAATCATTAACGTAATATATTTGCATTTTTTTATTCAGCTTTATGTTGAGTGACGTTGAGTGACGTCATCAAGCCGGGTAATTAAATACCTATATTTTCAAACCAATCAATCATCTTTCTGTTTTTATTTGTACTTTTATTCACAAGCGGACTGGATTCAAATCCAAACTGGGTCAACTTTGTGTTTGAGTGTTTATTATTGTTATTTTTTATTATTATTTTCAATATTTACTAAAATTATTATTATTATTATTTTTGTTGTGAAATAAAAGATGAAGCTAAAATATTTTAAACTGTTTCTTGACAAATTTTCAAGCAAGTTATAAATTGTTTGTCTATTTATATAAAATTTGTGATATTTAAAATATATCATCATTATCATAATCTTAGTCATCAGATCATTCCAGATACATCGTCATCACCATCCTCATCGTTGTTGTCAGCATCTGCAACTCCATCATCATCATCATCCTAGCTGCAAGCAATCACATTTTAATTGATGTATTTCACCTCATTTAATGATCACAGCACTCATTATCATCAACTTTTCAAAACTTTTTTAAACCACCGACCTAATTGTTATTTGATCATTACTGATTATTTATCAGCAATAGAATTTTACTTTTTGCGGTAGTAGTATCAAATGTAATATTGGTCGCAACCAGGGTTGGACTGAAAACTTTTTCAGTGTCAATTTGATTATCTTCAATGCAAATAATTATTTGAAGTTTTTATATAGACAAACGCACTTTCAGTTAAAACTTAAAATATATTAACTTTTTTTTGGTAGTTGGCAATTTCCCGGTGTCTCGACTGCCCAAATCCAAGCCTGGTCGCAGCAGTAGCAGCAGTAGCAGTAGCAGCAGCAGTATAGTAGCAGTAGCAGTAGTAGTAGTAGTAGTAGTAGTAGTAGTAGTAGTAGTAGTAGTAGTAGTAGTAGTAGTAGTAGTAGTAGTAGAGGTAGTAGTAGTAGTAGTAATAGTAGTAATAGTAGGGAAGGTAGTAGTACTAATAATAGTAATAGTATTAGTTTCAATTACATTTTCATCACTGGTTGGTATACAGAATTAGTTGTTATGCAGCTTGTTATACATAAAATTATAAAATAATTTACACCGTTACATCGTCTGTCATCAACGACCTCGTCGAATCTAATGAACCTCCATTGGCTTCCATTTCATTTTCGAATTTTATTTAAAATATCATAGCTGTCATCGTCTTCAAACTTTCAATCTCGCATTCACAGTCTTATCTCAGTGATCTTCTACATAGTAATACAAACAATCGTCAACTTCGCTCTGCCGTCGCTCTACGTTTTCATCAGCATAAAACAACAAACAATATTGCTGGTCGTGCATTCCGACATGCTGCTCCTCGCGTTTGGAATTCGCTTCCGCCAAAGATTTGGAACTGCAGCTCTACACGGTCGTTCAAGCCGTCATTAAAAACTTTTATTTTCATAGAGATTTTTCAAACGTCTGACGGAGGATGTTTTTTGTTTCGAGGGCGCCTCAGTAGCTTGCTAGGGCGCTTTATAAGTCAACATTATCATTATCATTAATTTTGGTTGTCATGGAAATGTATGTTATTAACCAAGTAGTAATATAATTACGCTTTATAAGTCAACATTATCATTATCATTAATTTTGGTTGTCATGGAAATGTATGTTATTAACCAAGTAGTAATATAATTACTACTGCAATGCGGTTTATCACCAATATTATTAATACTCAACAAGTTTATAATTATAATTGAGATCTGATGCAAATAAACATAAGAAGACACTATATTCTATAATTTCCCATAATTGATTTTTAGTACCATCAATAATTTTATTTGCTATAATTGCGATATAATCATAGGCCGCGTTATTATAGTATTTTATACTGCCATTAAGTAATTTTAAATTTAATGAAAATTTACTGCAATATTACTTAGGGTACATGGTTATTAATAAATAATTAAATAAATGTTTCATAATTGTAAATATATATATATATATATACGTGTGTGTCTGTGTGCGCGCGTGCGTGTGTGCGCGTGTGCGTGTGTGCGCGCGCGCGTGTGTGTTTTATCTGTGTGTAAAGTAAACACCTATCATTATTTTAACCATCATAAAACGATCTCAACTGAGTAACATTTACTCACAAATTATCATCTATATCACAATCTAATCATTGTTATCAGTTTCGACATCATCACCATTTTTTAAATATTTATTAAGGGAAGTGAAGGAGGGATCCAAAATCCCGACTGCTCTGTTACAATATTACCTCACAATGACGAATCTAGATAACTTTGACGGGTTGCCAAAATGTTGAAAATATTTAAATTTTGGCGGGAGGACCAAACTTTTCCAGTGGTGGGCGAGATTTGCGGAAGTGCGGCTGACGACCTTTTTTCGGTCGATTTTTTACATAAAACGGCCCTTTTTCCGACTTTTATTAAAAAACAGCTTACCGGCCCGTTCCCCCCAACCCCGCTTCCTAGATCAGCCACTGTACCCACAAAACCTTTAATAATTTCTTCTTTCATGGTCTGGTGAGGGGATGCATTTCAATAATTCAGTAATAAGTTCAATTCATTCATTCGTAATTGGAGATACTGCTGAGTAACGCAATGAAAGAAAATATTTATATCACATCTAATATTTATATTATTAATAAATTTATATTGGCCGTATTGAAGTGCGTGCATAAAATGTATGTTGTTTAATTTAACCAAGTTTTTTTCAGTCAAATTAGATGAAGGATGGGTAGATGGAAGAACTGATGAATAAAATAATCCAATCAATCAATAAGTTTTTAACGAACGAATCGAACAAACAAACGAAAGAACGAACGACGGGATGGACGGAAGAATGAGAAAAAGTGACCAGCAGCTACAAATAATACTTAGACCAAACAAATTGTATAAGAAAAGAGTAGAAAAAGATCCCAATCAATCAGACACAAATAGTTAACTTTTTGAATGAGCCAACTTGCAACACAAGAACAAAATTAACGGAACTGCTTAACTGCTCGTGACAGGCGTTCAATTAGGGTCTAAAAATAAATAAGAATGAGTTACTTGAGATTGTTCGTTATTGGGGTACAACTTAATGCAATCAGTAATCACGCACGCACACGCACGCATGCACACGCACGCACACATAAATTTATTTACTCGACGTGAAGCCGATAATTGCGGCATAGAGGAGAATTAATTGTACAAATGCTTACTGATGAATGTTACGCGGCAACACCCAACTAACTGCGTTTAAAGTTTCTGCAACGTCAAGATAATTATTAAGAAGATGAAAATGAAGAAGAAAATTGTGAAAAAAACGCCAAAGTTGAAGATTAAAATAGTTTTAATGATCACGATGATAATGTCCGTGCTAGCTGCTCATCTTCTCACCTAAATTATTGGCTGACTTTTGAACAGTGCTTCTGATTTATTACAAGGTGCATCAGTTGGTTATTTACAGGAAAGTTCAACTTAGGATGCGTCAAAGTAATTTTTAGATGTCCGTGAGGACAATCTTTTAAATTTTAAACGAGGTTGATGGATTGCTGTCGTACGTCAACTATACAACCTCATATACATAAAAACACATATATCAAATATTAATAAACTGTAAAAATTAAAACACATTCATCCCTCAAGACAAACATGCACACGCGCACCACATCACAAGTCTGTCGTTTAAAAAAGCCTTTTTCGATTATTAGATTATTAAGTGTTCAGTAATTATCTTAATCCACAGTTTTAACGTTCTCTACACCTTGTTAGTGTTGTCTCAGTATTATGAACTTTAACTTATTCAATCACAGACACACACACACACATGCGCGCGCGCACAAACATATATATATATATATATATTTATCAATATATATAATTATTTATTTATTGTAGAGCACCCACACACAAACATCAATTTCGAATTTCACTTGAAATGATAAGTCTCAGAGAGTTGATTGTGTTTTGATGTCGTGATCAACCTGGATTCATGTGTGTTCATTCATCTCATTCTCACGCTATCTTCGCTAATTATTCCGTCAACTATAGCATTTGTCTGGTCGAATATATGAACAGAACAGACTTACAAAAGCAAATATGCGAGTAAAAATGTGCAACGTTAAATGTTCACACTCACAGACAAGCTGATCTACAACACAAATAAAGGCACAATCGCACTTACATGCACAATGCAAAAAATATGCACGCGGTTTAGACTTCTGTTTATCAAATACGCCGAATAAAAAAATCATAAGAAACCAATCTGTTTCGATTACAGGTTAGAATGGAGACGAGAATTGAGCTCGAATATTTATCGATTTGAACGCACAAATATAAAAACAGATGAACGACTCGAGAAAACATTTGAGAATTATCATCTCATCTACAATTATCACCTTGTAGGGTGATTAGTAACTATTGTTAGTCTACTCTACTCTTTAATCAAACTCTTTTCGATGAATTGTCTTCATTCTGACTTTCATCCCAGACTTATTACTTAGAACACAATCGCTGCTACGTATAAATAAATACTGCACACTTGTACGCGTGTCTGTAAACGCGTGTGCGTGCAGAGATAAAGTATATATGTATATGTGTGTGTGTGTGCGTACGTGTGTGTATGGGTCTCTATCTACTTGTGTAGCGTTCGTGTACATAAATTTAGAATATAAACATGTGCGTGTTTATACAAACAAAAACAAAACAAAACTTAATAACTATTATTGACAAAACATCTAAAGAGCAATAAAATATGTAAAAACTAAAAGTAGAAATTATGCCGACTACAAATAATATAAAATATTATTTAATAAATAATAACAAAACAAAACATCTTGAACAGAATCATTAGATGAGTTAAATAGGATAGATGTAAGACATCAATCATTTGAAGAATTGCATCAGACAGATGGAATGTTTCATATGAAGAATTGCATTGAATGGATGGAGGTAGCTATCACTTGAGGAACTTGAGTGTGGTCATCTTTTGCTTCACCTTTCCACGGATCTTGCATAAATTATTCTCTGGAATTCCTTTCTCTCTGTATGAACAATTGAGAATTTATCATCTCACGTTCGTAGAGGTTGAATGGTGGTTGGCTGTCGTTTACGGCTTCTTAGTTAATAGAGCATTCAATGTGTTAACTCTACTTTCATCACGAAAGACCTAAAATTTTTCTGCGTAGGCTTTGATTTTTTAAAAAGTTTTTGCTTATTCCAATTTTTTTATTTTTCTAACAGTGTTTTTTTAAGAAAATTATTCAAATGTTACCGTTGTAAGGATGCTAAAACAGATTAAGCTAAATTTATGTAGAGGTTTTTAAACTATACCCTATTTTTCATCGTGTAGAACTACAGCACTATAGCCCCTTTTTATTAGCTACGCCTCTGATATTAAAGTTAACCTGAGTTGACAGATCTTCTTTTCAAGCTCATCCTCGACCACCTTCCTGTGCATGCATTCTTCTTCAGCAATCGCCCATCCTGTTTGTGTATTCATCACTTTATACATCAGCACCAAAAGATCAGCCAGACAAGGAAAAGCGAATCAACACGAAAAGATGTCAGTATCAACAAAACGATCAGAGTGCATTGTTATCTCAATGAAGACATCACAGTAGCAACATAAAACAACTTCAACAATGTTTTCACTAATATTTGATGACAATACTAACACAATCCATCGACATAATAATCATTTTAAGACGAACGTGACCAACGAACAAAATATGAACATGAAAAAAAATTGTATTAACAGATGGTCCCAACTCATGAACATACAAACAAATGAACACCACACGACGAACCAACAACACACGAACATACAAACAGATGAACACAACACGACGAACCATCCTTGTATCTGACGGACATATCTTCCTTCTTCATGCATTCAACCTCCTTTAGCTGTTGCCGCAACAACTCTCCATGCCTCAACTTCTTTGCCCTCTCTCCCATCGGCCCTTCGTCAAGCTCTATCTCTTTTATCAACTTTCTATATGAAACAATTTGAAATGATCGTACAATGATAACATGATATTACAATATTACGTTTGCATTGGGAGTTACAAAACAACATCCTGTAACATTCAGATGAGTGCATGGAAGTGCATGAAAATGTCTTCAACTGAAAATAGCGAATTGCAATGACTGCAGCAAAACTTTAAACAAGATTCTTGAAACTTCATTGCAAATTTTTCATGTTTAAACTTTTGCTGATGAAAACCAAGAAAGAAACGACATATAAATAGGCTGTCATTAACTTGTCATTTCATCATTTCAAAAACTACACACACACACACACACACGCACACACACGCACACGCGCACACAGCTGATTAACAAACAGATGAGCAAATATATTTTTGACCTGAGATCAGATTCGAAGTAAGCCTTATCTCTAGCAGCCTGTATGGCGTTGAATCCTCTCTTCTCATGCAACTGACAATCACGAAGTTTCTTTAGCTTCCACTCGGCCTCTCTTCTGTTTGACATGTCCTCTCTCTCCCTTCTGTGCATGTCGTTCTCCAGCTGATCCATTGCTCGTTGGATGCGAAGTGCTTCAGCCCTCGTGGATTCCTGCAGAGAGGCCTCCAGCTTGCAGAGGAGCATCTCCGAGATCTGCTTTTGCTCTTCAATCTTTCTTTCTCGAGTGCACTTGTGAGAATCCTTCAATTTCTTTAAACGTCATTTAATAAAATGTAACAAAATGTGACTTTCTGATTGAACATTATGTTGTGATGCAAGAACAGCTAGAGAAATTAATTATTTCAAATTAACAAGAGCGTCGTGTCAGAATACATATCTTGAACAAAGGTTCAACTAACACATGAATTCAATTTCATGAATTCATGTGTTAGTTCATACATTCATACAGTTAGAGGAAAAGAAGCTAGCAATTAAAAACTCGATCAAAAAATGAATGAAAGATATTGTAAATGAAAGAATGAATGAATGAAAAAAATAAAACAAATGAATAAATTAATGAACGAACAAATGAGCAAACAGACATCGAGTTCATCTTGCACAGCCCTGGTGCGAATCAACAGCGCCCTCTCTTCTTCATCATCTTCAGCTCGCTTCTTCAACTGTTCAAACGTTTTATTTACACTGTCACACTCACTACATAGATACATCATCATGAATGTTTCCCAAGTCAAGTTCATAAACTTCTATAAACATTTTGTTAAACTTCAATTGAAAACTATAAAATCCTTTAAAATCTTTATATCAGTCGCGATCAATTTGTGAACCGCCATACAAATATACAGATATACTATGGTGATGTTGAATGAAACAGAGCAAAATGATTGATGCAAACTTTTTGTTGACTGCAGATATCCAGCTGTTTCTTGAAATTGTTGTTTCTGCTGTGATTCTGTTCGTACTTCTCTAAATCTTCCTCATTCATTCGCTCCCAACACTTCCGAATGGCACACCCCTCCAAGTATTTCTCCTCTTCCTCCTCCACTTTTTTCTAGAAAAAATTACATGAAACTTTTGTCTCAAGTTTGTTTCACCGTATATATGCTACTGTCAAAAACTGCAAAATTGTAAATTTTTAATGGAGTAAGTACAATTTTTAAATTTTAGCGTTTGGAAAACATTTAAGAGATCAATGGCAACAGGTTGAACAGAATTGAAATTACAAAATTATGATGACGTCAAAAAAGGAAAAAAACAGCAACCAATTTGTTGCAGTTGATTTGTTGGACCAGTTGTTGCATGTATTCCTTCTTCTTTCTTGCCTTCAATTCTTCTTCATTTATAGTTGACTCCAATCTCAACTAATCAGAAACATTAACAAGACATTCCATCAATCAATCAATCAATGCACTATGTACCACCACCATCATCATCAACTCTGCTGTCATCATGCTCAACAACAAAATTGTTAACACAACATGACAAATGTCAAAACTGTAACATAACATTTTATTAAATATAACAGCAACTTCATTAACTCTGAAAACACTGGCAAAACAAGAAAAGCTACCCTAACAACAAAAATTCAGTGAGGAAAACACGAGCAACAAAACGACAGCAGTAGCAACGCTAAAAACAACGCAATAAAGCAACAACAACTTTCTCCATCTCCATATCCATTCTGTAGTCCTCCTCACACATCATCTTCTGCATCCTCTTCTTCTCTTCCATCTGATCCTTCCACACAGACATGTTCACTGCTTTTGTAGATAACTGAAATAAGTGCACATACATCATGCATACATGCATCATATTAACTGCATTAAAATACAGTAACAAACACAAACTCAAGATATTTATATTTGGTTGAAATAGACGTAATATATTTAGATTTAGCAAAAGCATTCGATAAAGTGCCACATAAAAGGTTATCCAAAAAGTTACAGGCATGTGGAGTAGAAGGAAATCTGCTACAATGGATAAAAAATTGGCTGAAAGATAGGAGACAACAGGTGCGGATAAAAGGAATAAACTCGAAGTGGATAGACGTAATAAGCGGCGTGCCTCAGGGATCGATATTGGGACCGCTATTATTTGTGATATACATTAACGACATCGACGAAGGAATAGTCTCTAAGATTTCAAAGTTTGCAGATGATACCAAATTATGTGCAAAAGTCAACAACGATGAAGATGCGGAAATATTGCAAAAATGGTCCAAGAACTGGCAAATGCTTTTCAACGTTGACAAATGTGCAGTCATGCACTTAGGGAGGAAGAACGCTAGATATAAATATAAAATTGGTGAAAGAGAACTACGATCGACAGAGAAAAAAAAGGATCTAGGAATCACTGTTCATCAAAGCACAAAACCGTCAAGACAATGCACAGTTGTAGCGGCCAAAGCAAATACGATCTTAGGATTTATAAGAAGAACAATGGTCAGCAGAGAAAAGCATATCATACTGAAACTGTACAAAACCCTAGTCAGACCTCATCTGCAAAAAGATAAGGAAGTTTTAGAAAAAGTACAACGTAGAGCCACAAGAATGATTAGAAGAATCGGAAAAATGAAATACGATGAGAGATTGAAAAAATGCGACTTAACATCATTAGAAAAAAGAAGATGCAGAGGAGATCTAATCCAAAAATACAAATTGATCACGAACAGAGAAACAACACCATACTCGAGATTTTTCAGGCTAGTCTCTATGTCTTTCTTCAATTATCGCTTGGTCTGACTCTATGTGTCTTAAACTTAATCCTTCTAAGTTTGAATTAATTTGTTTTAATAAATCTAAACACTCTATTACTATACCTCCTATTATCTTACCTGATTCTAAAACTCTTGATGTCTCTCATAAGTTTTGTAGTCTAGGTTTTATCTTTGATTCTACTATGTCTTTCTCTTCTCAGATTAATAGTGTTGCTAGAAGCTCTTACTTTCATCTACGTAGAATAAAAAAACGTTTGCCTTTTCTTGATGATCCTACTCTTCTCCTTCTTGTTACTTCGTTAGTCTTATCTAGGATTGATTATTGTAACTCGCTCTACTATGGTCTTCCTGACTCTATACTCTATCCTTTAAGTAAAGCTTTTAACTCTGTTGCTCGTCTAGTTGCTCGTGTCCCTTTCTTTTCTCATATATCTCCATATCTTGTTTTCTTGCTCTGGCTACCTATAAAATATAGAATAATTTTCAAAATTTGCACGTTCATGTATAAGACTCAATCTAAATTATTTCCTAAGTATTTATCAGATATATTAATTGAACCTAAACGCCCCGGTTTACGATCGTCTTCTTCTTCTCGCTTTTTCTTAACTCGTGTTAAACACTCTTTTGCCAAATCTGCTTTTGCTTTTTCTAGTCCTTTTCTCTGGAACTCTCTACCTACTTCTCTGACTACTTCTCCATCACTTGCGAAGTTTAGAGCGGATCTGAAGACCCATCTGTTTTCAAAATTCATTGAGGAGCGCTGTTGAACATCGCAGAAATAGCGCTTTATAAGCTGATTGATTGATTGATTGATTGATTGATTGATTGATTGATTGATTGATTGATAGTAAACAGTGATAAACTACGAGGACACAGATTTAAGATTTTTAAAAACTCAGATGGAAAAATAAAGAGCAGATTTTTCAGCAGTAGAGTGGTCAACGCCTGGAACGAGCTAAGCGATGATGCAGTCTCTGTGAATTCACTCAACAGCTTCAAAGCCAAACTCGGACAGATAGGATACTAGGAGATTTAACTAGTAGTGGTCCTTACACAGACTATATAATCTTCTGAACCACTTTAAACCCCGTTAATTATAATAATAATAATAATTCAAGTACATACATCGTGGAGGTACTTGACATCATCATCTCTCATTAGCTTGCAGTGAGCATATTTCTCTTTTAAGTAGTTTGCCTTCTTCTGTTCCTCACATTTCAGAGCATTGTCAGCTGCCAAACAATCCTTCTTGTGTTGAAGTTCCTGCCATTTTTTGTGACAATCTTCCATCTGTTCCTGTTAAGTAAGAAAGAAAAAATTGTTCCTGCCCTACCTACCGTTTTTTAACCTTCAGGCAGTTTATATTAGAATGAGAATGACATATTCTGAAAATAGAAAGGAGTAAGTTAGAGCACCAGCTTACAAGTTCTTGTTGCTTTTGTTTCAGAAAATTTCTGCAATCTTCCTTCGCTTCATCAGCATTTTTGTAACTTTGCTCCTTACAGAGTCTTTGAGCATCACATGGACCAAGAATGAGACAGCCGGGATCTCGATATGAGCATAACAACTTTCTTTCAAAATAATTTATTCAAAAATAAATAACTTTAATCTGTAACTTAACTACTATTAAACTAATATGTGAACAGCTCGTGGTAAAATTTCCATAAATCCAAAGTGTAAAATTAAAAACCTCTGAAATGCTGGATGAGGAGACTGTCTGAGAATAGTTGCTGTTCTTTTTACCTCATTATCATCAGTTTGTTTATTTATGATTAAGTTCAACGAGATCTTGTTCACACTGCTATTATTAGCATTTAAATTGTTTTTAATGTTTGTGTTGATGTTTTGCTTGTTAGTTTTCATTTTCATCAAATTCAAACTGATTTTTCCATTATCCATTTTATTTCCAAACATCCTTGGATTAACATAGGATTCCATTGATATTGGGTGACAATTTTTAAAAGCAGATTTCAATGTACTTTTACTTTTCATAGTTGGATTATTACATTAAACTCAGAAATGAAACTTTCACTTTATTACCAAAAATACTTCTTAACTAGAATCTTTTCAAAAATATATCTAATAAAATAATTCAATCTAGTACCAAAATTTTCTTGCACTACTTGCATTAATGTAGTGCAAAAAAATTTGAGTCTTTTTAAAATTTAAAGTCTTTAATATTGTTTTTTAATTTTTTTAATAACTTGATTGAATGAATAGAACTTGAATTGAATAATCATGACAATGTTTCTAACTTTTAAAAACAGAATTTTTAAAGACAGCTGTAATTTTTATTATTCATTCATTTTTTCATTTATTTAACAGTTTACTTAATATATAATATTTAATAAATTTGCAGATAGCAATAAAAATCTATTTAAATTTTAAATTCGAAGTCTGTTTCGAAAAGTCCCTCGTTTTCACGTTTGAAATTAGATCGATATCACTTATTTATCATCATTCATGAAACGACAAGTATTTGAAATACTTTTTTTAACAATACTTTTTAAAATACTTTGTTTTTTTCCATTCCGGTACTCGGTATATATAAATATAACACTTGTTTATTTGGTTAATTTACAATTATAATTATTGGTGTGCTTTCAAACAATTATTTCAATAGATAAATGAATTTTGAAATTTTACTCATTTTGTTTAATTTCATGAATATGATGCTATCCATTGAATGTAAAAAAAAGTATAAAATACTACGATACGATAAACTATGACCATTGAAATACACATAGTTTAATTTATTTTGTTTTATGAGGCTATGATAAAACAAAAATTAATTTGATATACCTGGTTTATGTAATATACAAAATGAAACCGCATCAATAGAAGGTAAATAACTTGTTACATTAACTAATTAAATATAAACTTATTATCAATGTGACGTAGGAATATAAATGACTAAATGAGTCATAACATTAATGGATTCAATGGAATAATGTATCATTTAACCAACCAATCGATTGATCAAACTATCAATCGGATAAACCCTTTTAAGCCCAACCGTTCTATCAAACCAAATTAAAATTGATTTTGTCACATTAAAAATAGCGCTTTGAATAACTTGAGTCCGATTCTACTTACTAATTAAACAATTCAACAAAAAATCAGTGGACCATTGTATTTGATACAGATATAGCTCTTATTCTTTCCATTATACATAAACTTTACTGACAACAAACGGAGTGTTATACATAGCTCCGTTGCAAATCCATTTTAAATGTTAGGCCGCTCTACATCGTAGTTTCGGTTGTTGTGGGAGTAATAGTCGTAGATATATATAATATATCTATGGTAATAGATATGAAACGGAGAAAAGTGATAAAAAAAATCAAAAAACGAGACAGAATAACAAAATCAATATTGAAACAAAGTAGTTAAGATGATGCGATTTTCCTACTAATGTTCACGGCAATATTTTAATTAACAGTTAAAAAAATCATACTTAACGACATCGATGTTATTCGTTATTCCGGGTTAGTGCTATGATATTAATAGATATTAATAGATCTATTAATTATATTAGATATTAATCTGCCAGCGTTCAGTGGGATGGAAAATGCATAGACTAATTGAAGATGACACATGGTGTCAGTAAAGATCACATACAAACGATAGTACATACCAACGAAAACAAAAAGGGATTGACTGGAAAAAATAAAGACAGCACCTCATTTCAAATTAAATTAAAAAAACTTAGCTAGCTGAAGTTTGTGAACATGACGCTTTTTTAACGAGACCGTTGAGTGCATTCCAGCCGGAGTAAGCGAAAACAGCTGAGTAGTATAGGACCTGACTATATCTCCGATGGTGTTGGCCAAATGATGGAATGGTTTTTTATGCAAAAGCAAGCAAAAAATTTAACTAAATATTAAAAGTTATTATTCAAATTGAAATATTTACCTTTAACTACGATATATAACACAGTTGTGATCGTAATACTCGTCATGAAGCTTTGACTTCTTGCTGAAAATTTAACACTTCTGCGGTTAAAGGCCCATATGGACACTGGGTTGAGTGAAATTATCAAATGTTATTCATTTTACATTATTAATTTAATTATCCGATATACTCTGAATTCAAGATAAAGTTCGTACTTCAACCACCATATCTTCCCATCACAAACTCATTCGCCTTCGCTCATCTGTTAACCACAACCATCACTTCCGTCTGCCTTCATCATTTTAACTGCATCGACCAGTCAATAAATCAGCTCTTGCCATTAAAGGCTTTTCATATTGTTCAACATCAGAAAAAAATAATATAAAATGACGTTTAAGCAACAAACGAAAACGATAGTATTAAACTACGAATATATTACTCCAACCAAAGAACGTCATCTCTTGTGATGAAATCATGGTGCCCACACTCACCAATATTACATTTGAACAATTTGGCTGTGATCCATTATTGATTCTGGGTCGCTATAGCAGTTGTTTTCATCACAAGAGATGACGTTCTTTGGTCGGAGTAGTATATTCGTAGTTTAATATTATCGTTTTCGTTGGTTGCTTCAGCATTATTATTTATGATTCTTTTCATTATTTTTTCATTCTGTTCGAAATCGGTTGAAAAGTTTTTATAATATATTACTATGTTATTTTTGTTATTGTTGGTTTCATTATTGTTGTATTGCTGATTTTTGTTCTTTGCGTTCTATAATATTCTGGATCATGGAATTTTTATATCCATTATTAGTAAGTAGCTTAGTGACTCTATCTAGTTTTGTTTTACAAAAATAATACAGCTACATTTAAACCACTGCCCAAAACAAACCACACAGTATAGAGATATTTTTTCACCAGCGGATAAGCAATCTAATCTCAGCGATACAGAAAAGTCCAAAGAAGGACGTGAAACCAGCGGAAATCAAATTAATTCATAAATGTTCTGATAATCCTCCGCGTTGTAGGACGATTGCTGGCAATATGAATATTCCACCGCTAACAACCAATCCGATGACCACTTCCATTCCGAAAAAACAAAATAGTTGAAACACTCTTTTGCCAAATCTGCTTTTGCTTTTTCTGGTCCTTTTCTCTGGAACTCTCTACCTATTTTTCTGACTACTTCTCCATCACTTACGAAGTTCAGAGCGGATCTCAAGACTCATCTGTTTTCAAAATTCATTAGGAACGCTGTTGAATATCGCGGAAATAGCACTTTATAAGTTAATTGATTGATTGATTGATTGATTGATTGAATCGAATTAACTCAATGGTCCCTTAATGTTTTAATGAGCACAGTATAATCAATTATACCACAAATCAATATCTTCTAGGATAACTTAACAGTACCTTTTTTTCATCGTTAATTAAAATATTGCTTTAATTATCTGATTTAGATAAGAGCTTGTAGATAGATATTTTCATTTTTCACGTATACTTATAATCTTAGTGATATATATATTCTACATATATATTTATATATGTAGAATACTATCAACTTGTATGAGTTGGTAGAAAAATTACATTGAAAATAATAAATTTTTATTTTAAATTGAACCCATTCTATTAATTTGCCGTTACTTCATTTTATATTCCATCGTCAATTACTTTTCTTTTATTTCTCTTATTATTATTATTTATTTTATTTGTATTTTTCATGTTTTATCATTTCTCTTCCTCACTTTTTGTGTTTATTTTCTCACTTTATTGTTTAATTTTGTTTTACTGCCTTGCATGTTGTTACAGTTTTTGCGTCTGACAGATTCTGATTTTTAAAGAATAATAATAATAAAAAAAATAATTAGAATTAGAATTAACCCATTAAATATTTTTAAGCATTTTCATATTACCTTCCCATATTTTTTGCCATCCAAACGTGTAACAACGGGACCGATTGTTTTGTGAACGTGACGTTTTAAAACAACAACCGATCCCATCTACTCTATGAATGCAATACATGAATTCTAATATATAATTTTTTAAATTGCGATATAATATAATAATTTCTCATTTTTTGTCTCACTGATTTACCTCTTTATAGTTCTTGTGTCTCGTGGTATTAATAATATATTTATTTATTTTATATTATGGATGATGATGATGGTATTGTAGAAGATGATGTTGGTGACGAAAATGTTGGTGATGCCCAATTCAGACCCCCATTAAGAAATCAGGACCCAGCATTTTTCGGCAGTACTTTCAACATGGGCAAGTCATTTAATTAAAAAGTTTTAAATTGTGAAACCCTGTTTTCTTTTTTATGTTATTTTTTTATTGTTTTTTTAGGATATATATAATTATATAGTTATATACAATGATTGATATATCAAATTATTTTTTATACATGGCAAATGTTTTATTTTTCAACTAAACAGTTGCTGCTTTCCTTCAGTCATATGGGTGGTTCATTGTTATTATTGCTATCATACTCTTTTATTTCCGTGAAAAAATTAGAGAGATCTTCAGCAGTTGGAATCAATCCAGAGCTGAAAACGTAGATTTACACAGATATGGTTGGCTGCTTTTTAATTTTTAAACTGTTAACATGCTAATATTTCATCTAACACTCATTGGTCATTCATATTTTTAGTAGCTCTTTTTTATTAAATCAAATAAAATTTGTTAAGATAACTCAGAAGTTCAGAGACGCCATGAGGCCATGGAAGAGGCCAGAAGAAGGATGCAGGAAAGATATGAACAGGATGCTGAGAGATTCAAAGAGGAACAGATTAAGGTACTTCTTTTTTGTTGGCGTCAGTGGCGGACCTAGGGGGGACCAGTGCAGTCTTTGTATTAAAAGTTGGTAAGTGATTGTTTCAATGGAAAGTGCAGTTTTTTGACAATAAACGTATGATAAGTGAAAAAATGGTAAAAAGGTTCCCCCATTGAAATATGGGACCTCTGCACAACATTTAAACACATTGGAACATTTTTTTTTCTTACAATTATATATATAAGTATTGCTCTGCTTTTTTTATTGCTTCTCTAGAAACATCTTATTTCACAAACAGTGCTCATTTCTACAACAAGTTAGAAAATGTGCGGTTTTTTTAAAAGAAAAGAGTCCACTATGAATTCAAATTTAATCCTATTAAGTTTATCAAGATTTCCTTAATTTTTTGCAATTACCATGTAAAACTATTGCTTATGATGTTTTGACATTTTTCTGGGCTTTATTGGTTTTCTTTTTGGTATTTGGACATTTAGTCACCTGTTCATTTCATTTATATTTGAGATTTCAGCTCATTTTTGTTATATTCTACATTTTTTTCATGCACCCAATATTACATCCCTCTTTCTCCATCGTTGGTGAAAATTATTTAGTTTTTATATTCATGACAGCATTTTTATCTATTGACACATTGTTTTATTTTTTTTATAAACATTTTTTAGAGTTTTCTCATAAATAATTGCTAAAAAATTGAATATTAATTTACATTTTCATTTCTTTTATGACTTTTATGTTATCTTAAAAATAGTTTTTTTTATTCATTTTAATGTCTATAGAAAGAAGAGGAAAAAAGAAAAGAAAGATTGGAGGATTGGGAAAGGCATCAAGAAGGAAAAGGATACAGATCGAAACAAAGAAATGTGAGTTTTTATGAAATTGTCAAACAAAATTATTTGAAGTTATGAGCAGCATAACTTGAACTATTTTAATGTTTGTTCATAAGGAAAATGCGGATGGGTGTCCGGATGTAAAAACTTTTCCCCAAATTATTCCTATGCCATCACAAAGAAAAAAAACGGCCCCTAGTCCCCAGCAGGCCTTAAGTGGTCAAGGGGTGCCAAGAATCCCTGGGAAGTATGCAATAGCGGAGGAATGTTGCAGAAAAATTCAGAATGGCCCTTCTATGGTACTTAGACTTGGAACGCTCAATGTTGGATCACTGACTGGCCACAGCATGGAAATCGCAGAAATGCTCGAGCATAGAAGGATTGACATCTGCTGCCTTCAGGAAATCGAATGGTGTTTGTCATGTCAACTCAGACAAAGAAAAATATAAACTATTCTGGAATGGTCAAAAGATGGCCAAAAATGGTGTTGGAATTTTTGTCAGAGAACCGCTAGCCCAAGAAGTACTGGATATTAAAAGGATTAATTCACGTCTAATGTGGATCAAGCTTCGCATAGAAAAGCAAACAATGATTATTTTTTCTGCATGCACACCACAGACAGGCGAATCAGAAGAGATGAAAAATGACTTCTGGACTGCATTCTCTGACACCATCTCAACAATACAAAAATCTGAAACAATCCTGATTGGAGGCGATCTCAATGGCCACGTTGGAGAGAAAACAGATGGTTTTGACAACGTACATGGCGGTTTTGGCTATGGAAAACGGAATGAAGATGGCAACCGCATCCTTGAGTTTGCTGAAAGTCACGGGTTTTGTTTACTGAACACATATTTTAGAAAGAGGTTGGAACATCTCATAACATACAAAAGTGGACCATCAGCCACGCAAATTGATTTCTTCGCTGTCAAGCAACCACACCGAAGGCTGTTCAAAAACGTCAAAGTTATACCTGGCGAATCATGTGTCGCCCAGCATAGACTCCTTGTGGCAGACCTGGTTGTCGAACTGTCAAAACATAAGTCTAAACAAATGCCTTGGAGAATCAAAACGTGGAAGCTGAAAAGCAATATTTATCGAGAAAAATTTCAACAGATTGTCGCCACACAGTTAGACCACCAATCGCAAGCCAGTACAGATTGGAGTACATACAAAACCGTTTTAATGAACACTGCAACTACAGTTTGTGGGAAAACTGGTACGAAACGTCAGCATGAACGTGACACTTGGTGGTGGAATGACAGTGTACAAAATGCAATAGCTGAAAAGAAAGTTGCATACAAGCAATGGCAAAAATCAAAGTCTGTAGATGACCATAAAATTTTTCTTGAGAAGAACAGCTATGCAAGACGTCAAGTTGCACTGGCTCGGACAGATCAGTGCAGAGAGTGGCTCACTAAAAGCAAAGGCGAACAAATGAAATCTCTGTATCGTATAGCAAAACAAGCAAAGCGTACGAAAAAAGACATAGTTGGTGCCTCATGTATCAAAAATGACAAAAATGAAATGATTCTTGAACAAGATGAGATCAAGCTACAGGGGAGAGAATACTTCAATCGTCTGTTAAACGAAACAAATCCCATCAATGTTAACTTTGACGCTCCACCCATCGAAGGTCCGATTCTATATATCACTGTAGAGGAGCTTACAGAAGCTCTGAAAGCTATGAAGGATGGAAAGGCAGCAGGGCCCTCTGGACTCACAAATGACATTATCAAAGCATCTGGTACTGCAGGTATCCAAACGTTACTACAACTTTGCCGTGAAATCTGGTGAAATTGCTCAATGCCGACTGAATGGAACTATAGAATGACAGTCCCGCTATACAAAGGCAAAGGTGATCCATCATATCGAGGTATACGTCTGTTAGAACACTCCCTGAAAATTGTCGAGAAAATCATTGAGAGAAGATTAACGTCGTGCATCACAATCGGAAATTATCAATTTGGTTTTCTAACGGGGAAATCAACAATTGATGCAATTCACATCCTTCGGCAACTGCAAGAGAAGTACCTCGCAAAGCATCAACAACTATCACACATTTTTGTAGATCTTGAAAAAGCATTTGATCGAGTTCCCCGTGAAGCAATCAGGTGGAGTCTACGTCGACAACTCATTCCAGAATATCTTGTTCGACTTGTGATGGAAATGTATACGAATACTAAGACTCTTGTCACCACAACGGTTGGAAACACAGATGCATTTGACATCGGCGTTGGAGTTCACCAAGGCTCGATTCTCAGTCCACTGTTATTTATAACTGTGATGGAAGAAATCACAAAACCGATACGCACTGGTGACATTTGGAATCTAGTATATGCTGATGATATCGTTTTAACAGCCACGTCTGAGCAGAATGCAGCACAGATGTTTGAAGATTGGAACACCAGACTCGCCGATCATGGATTCAAAGTCAACATCAGCAAAACCAAAGCAATGAACACTGGTGAACCCATCCAATCCACAGCTACTGGACGATGGTGTCACAAACGTTGTTCAAAAATAATTGGTACTTTATCTAAAGTGTCCAGTTTTGTTTGTCCTGCTTGCATCAATCCACAACAACAAATTCGAAATAGCACTGTTTTTGAAGCCATTAAAATAGAGAAAGTCACATCGTTTCAATATCTAGGGGATGTTCTGAATTGTACTGGAACAGCTGAAGCTGCCGTTCGAGCACGCATACGTGTAGCCTGGAATAAATGGCATCTCCTTGCCTCTATATTGATGCGGCGTGACATCCCACTACCACTACGATCAAGACTTTATAAATCTGTGATACGTCCGGTGTTGTTATATGGTGCAGAAACATGGCCAATGACAACCAAACTGGAACAACTTCAACGAACCGACATGAAAATGCTCCGATGGATGCAACGAATTAGTCTGAAGGACCACATCAAATCTACCGAAATCCTGCATCGTGCTGGTTTAGATGATATAAAGGACGAATGTCGGCAACAACTTCTCTTGCAGATGTTGAAGTACTTGGCACACGTCCCAAAGGCCGTCCAAAGAAGTCCTGGTCGCAAACAATCGAGCAAGACATGAAAGCTCTAAATTTAAATGAAATGGATACAACTGATCGTCTAATTTGGCGCAAAAAGTTGATGGCAAAGAAAACAACGTCCTACCTCGGGAAACCGGGTCTCTGGACGCAAAACGAAGATTGATTGATAAGAAAAATGCACTTGTTCTTTTATATTTAAAAAAAATGTTAAAAATAGAGAAAAAAATATTCAAAAATACGTTTTACTAAAAGTCATAATCGATTTAAGATATTAATGAACTAAAAAAAATATATTATATGTATTATGTACAATAAATTATTTCATTTAGGATTGAAACATTTTGACATTGCTGAAAGCTATTGTATCCAATTGTTTAGTACATAGAGGCAACCTGCAATTTAAAATAAAATTTCAATTTTTCAGTCCAATTGATATTTGTAACACATTTTATAAGTTCTGATATGTTTTGTTGATAACGAATAATAATTTTTTTCATGAACTACAGGTTGAAACAAATACCCAGAAACCTGAAGCAAAGCCTCAAAATGTACCAAAATCTAGAATATACAGACCAGACGGTTACACATTTTCGTTTATTTTTTTATTGCTATTTTGTCGCATTTATATAAGTAATTGCCAACGTTTTGTTTTTATTTGATAATAAATGTTTCATCTCCCTTACCAAACAAAATCATAGATTACAACCCGCTAACCGGAGGGTCATCTGGAAGCAGCTATAAGCCCCCCCAGAGAAGAGGTGGGGGAGGATGAGGTTAATGTGGGGATGTGCGTTTCGTATCAATGCACATCCGCCCGACGCCATCTGCAACCATCGACGTCACTATCATGAAAGAATGGATCATTTTTTTCCCAAACCCGTGTTAATAGAAGAACTATTTTTCATACTTCAATCATGCCAATTGTTAGATGGCTTATGTATTGGTAATGTTTTTGTTTGTAGCTTGCATTTGTTACAATTATCTCTGCCTACCACGATTTGTTATAACATTTATCGACCACACTGACGCTGCTTGTTGACACACAAATTCATACGATCCAGCCTGTCATCATGGTGACTATATGACGCCATGCATTAAAATAACATATTTGTTAAATTGTTTGGTTGATAAGAGATGGCTTCATTTGGTGTATTAATCTTATTTTTCTTTTCGATCATATCTTGTTAAAAACAGATAACTTATTGTCTAACCTAGTTGCCTGGGTTAAAATAGAACAAAATGCATAGGTCAAGGACAGAACAGAAATTACTTGATATCAGGAATGTTTCATTAATTTGAATTTACTTAACATTAGACACTAAATAAATTTATATTTAAATGAAATTTTGATGATTTATTTATTGTTTGCAAACCGCTTCCGATGAGCACAAACTAGAGTAAAACCATTTATTTATAAAATATATGCTTATAAATATTTGTTTTAATATTTTCTAACGTTGCATCAGTAAATTAACTTTTAAAAGTATTACATATAATGAATTTGTGGAACCAACGAAAAGTAATGATGTAAAATAAAACCTTATGAAATGACATAATATGCAAATAGAATGAATGAATACCAATGTTAAAACGGCATGTAATTTATAAAGACATGGCAAAATGACTAAATTTTCCCCGTGTACAACTGAATAACTTGTCAGCTGAACTAAAGTTGAAACTTATTACATAAAAACAGCAAAATGGCATCGAACAATGAATGTACTCGACTACTTGGCACGAATGAATAGCGTAATGTTATTCACGTCCATTGAACTAAATTAGGACAAATTATAAGCAAGCAAGCGAATATAAAAGGCACAAAAAAAACTAGGTTAACGGCTATACATACATACATACATACATACATACACATATATATATTGAAATTGCATTGAGAACGAACTCGCTTAAGTGTATTACAAAACACTCGTTTAAACAAGCATGACAAGACAATTTCCCGTTTGGTTATTTAAGTAAGCCAATAATTGAATTAAATCAACCAGCAACAATATCATTAAAGGATATGTTTTAATTTAATTTAAGAATGAAAAATTCGTTGTAGACTGATCGTACGTACATCAAACAATAGTGACAAGAAACGTTATGAGCCAGTAGTGGAAATGAAAGTGCGCTAAATGAGCAAGCGGCAGTGAAGTTAACTAACGACAGCCATAAAAATGATGCGCTGTTGTGCACTGACTGTACGTAAGAAACGTGTGATGTGAGAAAGAAATTTTAGGTTTCGTAATATTAAGAGACTAGCATTTAGAATTCAAACATTAAGTTATAAAAATCAAGACTAAATAAAAGATGTTGATGGCAATGAAGTCAAATGGATGATTTCAGCTACATGGAAATTTTAAATAAAAAAAATTTTTGATTGGCAGTCTTGAAAATTAAAAAAGTGAACACAGTGGAAACAACTTTCTATTAAAAAAAATGTATAAAATCTGTAACGTAATAAATGTGATTGGCACGATGAATGATCGATTGTGTGGTCCAGTGCAACAACGCATGATTGCTGGCGTGAAAACAATTTATGAAAATATTTGAAACAAACGATAGTATAAATTAATTTTAAACAGTCATCAAATATAAAGTATGTAGCAAAAAATGTAGTTTAAAAATGTTGAAATGCTTTTTATATATAAATACGATATATAACGATATATATATGTATATATATGTATATATATATATATATATCGTATTTGCTTGAATAAAAATGTAAGCCAACATCGTAAGGGTTACACGACACAGTACAACGGCAACGACTACAATGTACACTGACTAATTAATTAACAATGAACATAATTATTGTATATAATGAGATACAAAAATAGATCTTATAAAATAGCTGAATATGAAAATAAAGGAAACGAATCCATGAAAATATCTCCATATATATATGTGTGATCAATTAATTCATTGTTGCATTCAATTTCATAATCAGTCACGTCAAAATATCATCAGTCTCATCAATGTTTTCTTCTTAACTTTAAATTTAATTCACTGAAGATCCTGAAATAATAAAAAAATTAAACGATAGTAACAATAATCTCTGAGTTAGTTTAACATGGAAACAGTTTCACAGCACAAATTAGTTGTTATTGATATCATTATATTAATCACATATCAAACATTTGCATACTGAATATTAACACTTAAAATTGGTTAAATAAGTATAAACCTCGGCACCAACCTTCCATTGGCTTTCCATCCTGAAAGTTTGACTCCATGACAGTGGAAGTTGTTTCCTTCTTAACTGTTTTCGTTTCAGTTTTGTCCCCGGAAACATCAGTAGTGGTGTGCAGGGTGGTCGTGATGACCATGTTGTTCTCTATCACGTTGTGGCTGGTCATCACCATGATCGTCTCTTCATCACCACTTTTTATTGAATTAATGTTCAATGAAATCAATACTAGTAACAAACTTGATGTCAGTCATAAAAATCGTTTTATACAATAATAATGCAAAAGTATCAACAAATAAACAGTGACACGATCAACAAATGAAGGTCATTACTCAAGATGGTTCTTGATCCTATCCTCCAGCAGTTCGTTGGCATCCGATGTCTCATTCTCCAGAGTGGTAGTTGTGGTGGTTACAGTGGAATATTTCTTGACATCTACTATGATGTCCTGAGGCTTGGCGCCATCAATAAGCTTGGAGGTGATAGTTTCAGTGGTCACAGTTTTTGTTGTTTCTCCTGCTTGTGGTGGTTGTGGTACTGAGGAATCTCTGAAAAACAATTTCATAACATGGATCACTCGTTAAAATTATACATTAAAATGAAAATCATCCTTATTGACAATGATTCATATTAAAAATGATTAGAAATAATAGAAGTTACAATTGAATACTTAAGAAGGTACATTTGGTAATAATTCAGTAATAATTTGAAAGCAATGAAGCAATATTATAAATAGTGAACAACAACACGGCTTACCCCTTATCATTTTCAGCACCCTTAGTTTCTTCTTTCTTAACTTCTTCCACTTTGATATCTTCATTCTTAACTTCCTCTTCCTTCTTTGCATCAGCCTCTTGTAATTTCTTCCCAGCATCATGCACAGGTGATCCAGTGTCTTCAATCTCCATCACGACTTCCTGCTTTGTCTCTACGACAACAGGTCTCATGCCATCCTTCAAGGACAAATGAATTCAAAATTAGCACATTAATCATGGGTTATCAATTATCAAATTCTAATTAAGAATATCCTAACATTTAAATTAATCCTAAACTAATATTTCCTATTTTGCCACCAATTTGAATAAGGAAGATTGAAATGTGGCTATGATTATTACATTTAATAATCCAATTTTCAACTAATCAACACTAAGTGCCTAACTTAAATGGAAAAATCACATAAGAATATTTTTAGAATAACAAAAAGTTTGAATACCTAAAATTTGTTTATAAGACTTTGAAAACAAACAATGGGCATGAGCATAAAAGTGTTCATATGATTAAATAAAATAGAACACAAACAAAAATACGATGTAAAAAGTACCTTAAGGTTCAGTTGGACAGGAGGACAAGCTCTACAGGCAGCTGCAATGCTGAAAGTGGTCAACTGCCAAGGTGTTGATCGATACATTCCTATTCCATTGCTCTGAAAGCACGACTGTCCAATCAGATCTCTGTAAATTAATAAACGTTTTAAGATCAAAATTGCTATTATATTGACTTTACTTGAATGGATGTAGACTTAGATGTTAACTTACGTGTTGCCAATAGCCGGGACCTTGACCTGAGGTCTGAGGGATGGCAAATGAATAGCGTGCACATCACCTTTGCTTGTTATGCAGAGTAGTGCCTCCTCGCTGTAAGCATCATCTGTTGTAAAAGATTACATATAAATTATGTCAGGCTCACCGACTCAAACTAGTTGTGAACGAAATATGAAAAAAATATACACACATTAGAATGTTATAAATTTCAAAAGATGTAAGAACTTTAAAATATAGAACATCTTACCTTTGACACTCTTGAAGTTTTGTGCATGAACACAAACTATGGCACCATCCTCCTTGTTCTTGAACAACTTGTGCTTATACTGCGCTCTCAAGCCAGGAAGAGAGAAAATCTGCAAAAAATTTATAACAAATGTTAACAAAGTCCTTGCTAACATGACAGCATTATCGAATACATCCGTATATTATAGAAATGTAATCAATTACAAAAAAACAAATAAACAAGAAGCATCAACTCTAAATTATTACCTTAATCTGTTCATAAGAGCAAACAACCAAACGATGGTTACTGGTAGTTAATAGTTCTTCACTAACTGGTCCAGTTACAACTTTGCCCTTATCATCAATAACAAACAGACCACAAATGGGAGCACCATGCTTTAGATGAATTTCTTTGGCTAGTTGAAATGCGTGGTTATTTAAACAGGTTATTACAATGACATAATCAACTTACCACTGAGTCCCCATCAATATTTAAATGAAATAATAAATTAAATAAAAAAAAAAAATCTTACTGTCAAAGGCAAGAAAACAATAAAGAAATAACTGAAAACTTATTTAACAAAACAGTGTCACGTCGAAAGCATCACATTTTCCTACTGTAAAAACTAAAAAGTACCAACAACTAAATAACCATCCACCATCATCAATATCATCTTCACCACCAAATTCATCCTTACAATAATCTTCAACAAACAAAACAGAAGAACAATGAAAACAATGTGACAGCAGCAACAGCAGAAGAATGAGCAAACAGACCAAGAACAGTTGATACATCTTCTTCCTCTCTTTGGCCAGCTGCTGGGATGACCAACTGGTAAGCAAATACTTTGCCATCATACAGGCCCACCCACATTGTAGCTGTCACAGCTGTGTGTGCTTGTTAATAATAAATTGACCTTATTATAAAATTAGTTAAAAGACATGGAAAATAAATGATGACATCAGTGGGATTCTTGGATTTAATGAAATGACACATAAATCAATAATTCAAGACTGATAACAATCATTAAGATAAAATGTTGTCATAGGAATTTATAATAAACAGAAAAATAGATGCATGAGTTAAAACTAACAATGCGCCAAGAAGGTATCAGCAAATCTGACACAAGTCACCGACCCTCCTGAACCTGTGTTGACCTTGGATGGGGTCAAGGACATGTCAAATGTCACTCCTTCTCTTTTCAAGGTTGAGCCTCTGCTGTGACCTTCAGCAACTCCGTTGATATTTGGAGAGAGTCCATTTTCTGATTTTTTGGTTTCCTCTTCCACGACTGTTCCATCTTTCTTGGTAGTGGTGGTTGATGATACAGTAATGTTGGTTGTTGTGACAGTTGTAATCACTTCAGATTTTTTTGATGGAGTCATTTGATCAATCCTATTTAACATTTTAAGTATTTAGATGAACAAAAACATTACTAACACAATTTGCTAAATAAATGTTAAACTGATTATGAAATTAAAAAACATATAAGAACTAACTTATGCTCCTTGACCTCTTGAGATATGATCTTAACCTGGCCTTCACTTTCTAATTTATTCTCTTCTTCACCAGCGTTACCGTTAATACCTAACTTCTCTAAGCCCTCTTCCACTTTCTTCTCGGCATCTTCAGCAACCTGTTCAATCTTTGTATTAACTTCTTCTACTGTATCAGTAACAGCAGTTTCAACTTTTTCAACTACATCAGCCACTCCTTCAACAGCCTTCTCAACACCATTCTCAACTTTTTCAGTTGCCGTTTTAACAGGAGTGTCAGGTGCCTCATCTGAAGACTTGCTGATTGATTTCCGCTTCAATCCTCGGAATGAATCGCGCAAGGATTGTTGGAATGATCGACTTCTTACCACTCCTGGACGATTAGCTGTTACAAACATTACAAATAAGGTTAACTGTTAGGGAATTGTTGAAAAAATATAACAATTTCTAGTATTTACACTAAAAACTAAAAAAGAATTACAACCTGTCAACTTGCTCATTATAACTTTTTTCTTCTGCAGATCATACAAAACAAAACCATTCATGGTTCCAATGGCTAACCTGTAAATGAATAACCACTACCTCAGTCAAAACACAAATAATATGATAATATAAAATATAACTGTTAATTCGTAAAAAAAAACATCAGTTGATCAACATTTTTAAAAATTTTATGCAATGATGAGGCCATAAACAAAAACGTTTCTAAAATTGAAAACCATTGATGTGACAAGAAAGAAATTGTGTGAAAAAACAAAGACATTGTGTGGAAAGAAATGATCAGTGAAGATGAAAGGGAGGGTATATAAAGCATGTGTGAGAGCAGCGATGGTATATGGTGGTGAAACTTGGGTGTTGAGGAGAGAGGAGGAAAGTGTACTGCAGAGGGCTGAAAGAGCTATGGTGATGATGATGTGTGGGGTTAAAGTGAAGGATAGGAGGAGTAGTACAGAACTGATGTCAATGATGGGACTGAATGAGGACATTGTGACATTGATAAGGAGATCGAGATTGCGATGGTATGGACATGTGTTGAGAAGGGATGAAAAGGTCGGGATTAGGCGAGCGTTGAAGTTCGAGGTTGAAGGAGTGGTAGGAAGGGGTCGTCCGCGATTGGGATGGAGAGAGCAGGTGGAGAAGGACAGGGTGAAAGCGGGGTTGCGTGATACTGAGGCGAGTGACAGATGTGGATGGTGTCGAGGGGTATTTCGGTTTCATCATAGGTAGCCAAACGGCAACCCCCGATCTCGGGGAAAATGTCGTCTAAACGTGTGTTGTTGTTTTGTTTTTATTGATGTGACAAGAGAAAAAAAACAACTGACAATTTCCAATCTGATCTGAGAGCCAGATCAGAGCACGGATGAGAGCAATCAATTTGGAGGACAGCTTCCACACTCAACAACCCATCAGCTGATTTCTTCAACGTTAAACAATCAGCAGGCTCTCCTTTGCCCAATATGTCAACAAAAGTTGCCTCAGAAGGCAGCAGCTTGTTGTCCTGGTTCTCCAGGTTGCAGACGATGACCTGACCTGAGATTCCACCAACCACAAGCACACCAGTTTCAGGACAAAAGGACAGGGTTGTTATGTGCAGTCGACTGTCTTCATACTTCTGTGTCCAATTAGTGAGCTGCAAAATTTGTTAATTCAATTACGAATTAATTTTAATGGTTGAATTACAAATGGTTAAATTAGATTTAAGATTTAGATTTCAGATTTAGAGTTAAATTAGATTCAATAGTATTAAAAATAAATAAGTGTATTAATAAATGAGATTAAGTATTTTCATGTCCCAGAATAATATAAAATGTGTAAGTAGAGGATAAGAAAGCATTAAACATTGACAAGGCATGCATTGATGGTAAAGAATTAACTCTTGCACATACCTTCCTGAATGGAGGCCAATTTTCATCAGTGGCAGTGTGACTGCTTGTTGCATCAACCAGACCAACACCATCATAGATATCCCCAGATGACCATACGAACAACTTCTTCAATGAACTGTTACTAAGGCGCCAGAAGACCACTGAACCATCCTCATGACTGTGAGTGTTTGTTCAGGCAGAAGAACGTGACTAATAAGATAGCAATAACTTTATAGGCATAACTGAATGAATCTCTTTTATGAACTTTACAATGTAATTCAGAAATCTACAGAATTTAACATTGCAAAAACATAACGGTGATATCCAATAAAATTTTTTTAATATCAATTGAGAACGTTTAAAAAACAGGCAATGAGTTGAAAACAAGTCATCATCATTGCCATCAGTGTCATTATTTATCATAATCATCATCATGAAAATGAACATCATCGTTACCCAGTGACAAGAAGTTCAGCATCATGGTCTTTGTCAGCAGCTGTTATCTGCCCTCCTTTAATTGGCCATTCCTATTATTATTAATATCATTATATAATAAAATATTACAAAAAAAAAAATAAAAATTCCCTACCTAATTAACGAGTACTGCATGAAAAAGTGTGATAACTTCTATAAATTATGATAGAAATGTAATCTGATCAGAAATTATCAAACTATCCTATCAGAAACTATCAATCTCTTACATGGTTTCAAAACTACAAAACCCTAACAAAATCTTATATAACAAATGATATTCAACATATGCATGATGTGAAGTGCTGCAGACCAGGGTGTTCTAAACTGTTTATCAGCCAATATGAGATGAGATGAGATGGCTGATGTGCATTTTAGGTGATGAAAAATAAAAAATTAAAATCATATTAATCAACTGAAGCATTAGCAGTCAACTTAATCTGAAAACTAGCTAATCGTATCGTTAGCTAGCTAACTCATATATTTGTAATATGGATGAATATTATGTTAACAAATTATATACGTACATGCATACAAATGAAGGTAACATGATAACAAACCTTCTGGGAGAGATGTTTAACACTTGCAATGTATTTTCTTCTGATGAAGTCAATTTTGATCCAGACATTTTGCGAGATCTGATCCTTGTGTAGTATTGCAGAAACAGGACTACTGTGAATGTGCACGACACCACATGTGCCATACAAGGACCAATCATCTGACGTCAGGTCCACGAACAACAACTCGTCTTCCGTTATGATCAACAACGTGTGAGGATTATCAGCATCTGTTCAATGTAAATTTTTAAGTTATTAAGCTGTAACAAACTAACCGATTGGAAATTTAAATATGAAACTATGACGAAATGGAAAGTATTTTGTAAGTAATAAGTTGCAAAATATAACAATAAAATAAACAATGCTGACTGAATTTGATTACAATATTATTCCAGACTAAACAACATTTTACTTACTATCAGGCTCTAACATTCTCAATGTCATATTAAGCAAAAAACATTATTTCGAGAAGAGTTATTCTACAACATCTTGTTTTTATTGAGTCAGTACTGAAATGGATGAAGGTGACAATCCTTAAAACTTTCATGAAAATTAACAGGCCACTTAACAATCTATTAAATAAAAACGAACCATACAATATGCAAGCTTCTGCATCTTTAAACTATATAAGCTTAAAAATTAAACTACTCAACAGGTTTGACACATTTTGAGCTATCTTCAAAGACACTACTGCTAAAAAAACATTTATCAACATTTTTTAGTCTCGTTCAGTTATTTAAATAATTTGCCATTTATTTTTAAACACATTGGAATAAAATTAAATAAGCCTACACCCTTCATTCGTTCATCTTCTAATTCAATGATCAATGAAAATTGCACAAATTTTTGCTAGCTATGTTAAATGTTTTAATAAAAAAAACTATCTATCATCATAGCAATCATAATCACAATTTAATTATCCAGACATGTCTCAATTGTTAAAAAATACAAATTTAAAGCAAAACTGTAACAGACGTTAACAAATTACATAACTCCCATAAATATCAATACTTCAACTAAATATTCATGCTACCAAATAAGATTTTACCTTGAGTCCCATCTTTTTCATCAGCCTCACACATGACAATGAAGTCAACAACCTTTGACCTCAAATCATACACAACGTGCTTCGATCCATGCATCAGTGTCAAGGAATGTTTATCATCGAATGTTGATTTTGATAACCCACCAGTGAAGAATATGTATGGAGAACTAGACAAGTGTGTTGGTGAAACAAAAATTAAAACATTTAACCAACTGTTTAGTTAATGGGTTAATAGAATCACTCAACTCTAAAAATCTACTATTATGTTTTTAAAATAAAATTACCAGTTATAAAATGTGTGATGTTCTGAACTAGTCAGTCGAAGAGTTCACACCACATCAATCAATTAATTTGATTTAAATAATTTATTTTATATGTATAACAGGTTCTGTGCTGTGAATATACAAAAACAGTTCTGAAACTTCATGTGCTGAAATACATATACTACTAATACCATTCCCTACAATGAGAAATTACCAGTTGAAATTATTTTCTTTCACAAACCCAAGCAACTGAAGCTTTACTACTTAGGTACATGTATCTTTTATAGTGGGAAACTGAACAAAACAAGACAACGCATAATTATTTTTGTTTGAAAAGATTCTCTAATTATTGTTGAATTTAAAATAAACTAAGTTTACTCATCTATATATAACGTATTCATTATAATCACAATGCACAGTTGCATGAAAATCTGATAAGAACGATGGGCAAAAGCTAAGTCACAACTATGGCACACTACACTGTTTTTAAATAGTTGCAAAAATATGGACACAAAAGATCATGCTTCTGTTTCACAAGACAACAAATTCTTGGTGTAGACTTTGCTAGAGTACACACAACAGAGGTCTAAACTTCAGAACTCTAATGACTGCAAACAACAGGAGTTAGCATGATGAAATTTTGTAGCCTAACCACCTCTATGTAACAAATGCAAAACTGTCACAAGCACACAATATACTTGCGTGTGAATTTATTTTATACATGTTAGTTTATTATTCTTGAAAAGTAAAAATTGTCAGACTGAAAATTAAACTTACGAATCCTTAGATGATGTCTTTTGAACTATCTTTGTGATTTCTTTGCATGCAAATGGTCCTACAGATAGTATAATATAATAGAAATAAGATTATCAGACAATTGTTGGAGTGATAAAAATATTATGATTAATTACCATTCCTGTATTTTAAAAAATTATTTAGAAAAAAAATTAATATTACACTTAAACAACTATATAGGTAATATAAAAGGAAGAAAAATATTTGAAAGTTATTTATTTCCATATCATCATCCTTCCAACATTTCCAGCAATACCATCATCATCAACATCATTACATTACATAATTTCAGTGATGTATTCATCATCACCAAAAACGCATCATCATCACAACCAGTACCAACCATATGGGGTGGTGGGATTATCAATATGTTTGAGGATGTCATCCAGGTTCCAGTTCATGTAGCTGCCATCCAGGTGACTTGTGATAATGTCAGAACCAGATCTATTGAAGCTGGCATACTGCAAGGGCTGTTTGTCAAGATATACATTATCATGTACATAGCATAATTTGAAGAAATAATAAGTGTATGTTTTGAAAAAATCATTATCACTGTGTTTCTTGCCAGTATGTGCGACATATGTCTGTAAGGAGAATGACTAATTGTGTAAAAAAAAACATGTCTAACAATTATGAACAACAATTACCTACAATGTAAATGTGTCTAATCTGTTTAACATGTTAACAAGACTTGGTAGTTTTCATGAACATCATCATTATCACAACATCATAACGAACGCCTAAAATATTTCTGGCCCCTACCATTACTATTAACATCACCACCACTACCTCCATCATCATCATTATCACCATCATTATCGTTGTTATACCTGGTTTGTGCCAAAACACTTTTCAGACCTCTTGTCCTCAGAGTTCCACATGATCATAACACCTTCAGCATAGCCAAACATCAACTGAAGAGTGTGACAAGTAGTATTATTTGTAGCTGATTGAATAATTAGACAACCACCATCAATTATAACATTAATGGTTAAGGATTGTTTTGTGCTGTGAAATAACTACTACTCTCATGTTATTTACTAAATGGTCAAACAAACCAAAAAACCAAAAAAGGAAGCAATTAAATAATTGCAACAAGATTCCAACCAGATGACATGCTACATATTTCATTTTAAGAAGATTTTTGAAAAGAAAACACCAGTTAAAAATTCACTAGATGGCATGAACACAGATACAACAATACATAATGAGATGTCACAATAACATCACATACAACCAGAAAGTTAACAAAATAACGCAGTAATAACAATATAACAAAAAATAATAAAATACAAAAATATAACTAACCAGATGTTGTTCAGTTGGATGTTGTACAATTATACTGACTGTTACCCCTTTAGATTTTTGTTCATCTGATGCTCTGTCAGTTATTTACATACACAAATATATGTATTTGTAAAAATAAAAGTGTGCAAATACACATTCACACACACACACACACACACATAATTATTTTTATGCAGGTACATTCACACACAAAAATTTTATATTTACCATTATAATAAATTTTTCATCTAAATCTGTTTCATTTGCACTGGTATACATATCATACACAGCAGCCAGAAAAAATATGAATAAGTGCCAAGAAAATATGAAGCCAAAATTAACAAAAATACTTTCCTCATAAATAATACTTATTAGCATTTGAACTTAACATTGTCCATGTGACAAAAACATAGAGTTTGTTACACACAATAACACAATATTGTAATTCATATCTAAAACAAAAAGTATGCAATTCAACTATAATATAAGCATTAAAAATGTTTGTGATTAAATTATATAAGAAGAATTATAATTTCAACAACATTTATGTAAATCTATTCTGCAGGTTCCCACATAAACTTTATGCAAACTCATTATTATTTCAACTGTAAACTTTGCAAAGAGTCTTCATGTTCATGTTGATTGAAGGCAAACAAGTGCCCATGTGAGCTATGGAACAACAAACATGCAGTTTCATTCAGACCAGTAGCATTTAATAATACAGGAAGACATATGTATGAAGGAAGATAAGAATTAGAGAGTGAGCAAGCATTTTTAAAGTGTAGTTCCTATGAAATTATTTCTAGAAAATTATAACAAAATTCAACATGACCAAAAAAAAAATCATTTTGATAATTTCAAAATATGAGGAAAAAATAAAATCCAAAGCATATGTCTCAGAAGAATTTAATCTTGTTGAAGAATCTTGAAATGATGAGGACAAAAATTTAAATTTCAAATTTAAATTTCTGCAGTTTGTATTTGAATAAAAAGAAAAAGTTAGTTTATTTTCTTCTGAAATGAAAACCATCATCAAAAACTAATTTAATAAAAAGTTATCCACATTACAAAAGAAATAAATGCAGCATATGAAAAGAAAAAAAATTTACAATCAAGAAAATTACCAATGAAATAATCAATCAAATTATCTAAGTGAGTTAAATGGATGTAACTAGGTTAGCTCATTTGGCACCATATGACACATACATCACAAACATGATCTATGATGATAATTGAACATTAAAGCAGTTAATTAGTAAAACAAACTATAACTTGGGAGTAGTAAAAATTATTTTGTGTTCATCATTTTAAATGAAGCCTATTTAAACTGTTCATCATTTTAAATAAAGTCTACTTAATTAACTTCAGAACTAAACAACGCTATAAGAGATAATTTATAACTAAAAAACATTTAGTGAATTAAGATGAATGTGGTCGGTGTAAATAAGCATGTGTGTACAACAGTAGGCTGGAGATGTTTTTTTTTATAGAAAGTTGCCACTGATCTGATCTCACTTAAATGAATTGAAAACAAAACTTTTGTTACCAAGCAAAAAATATTTGTAACTAATTCCCACCATCATCATCTTCATCGTCATCATCATCATCATCATCATTCAAACAATTTCATTCATATGCCAACAGTGACCAGATAATTGTAACAATGCAATTACAAAATTAACTGCCTATTTAATCCCTATAATTGTACAATTATTTATAAGACAGCTTATAAATCTTCTAATTAACTTTTAACAAATACACATAAACAATGATGATATAACATTGAAAACTAAGTGCTTGCTATAAGGTAATTTTCCTAATCTCACATGAACATTGCATCACAAATAACAGTATGTGAACAATAATTTGTTTCCCAGAACATTGCAAACAATTAATTAATTTTTATTCACATGATATAAAATTTCAAAACAAACCAAAGAGAAATACAAATAATAAACCATCAAAAACTCAATTTATTCATTTTTTTATAAAAATTTTGTAACAAAAATTTAAACATCAACAATAGATAAAATAAAATAGAAATAATCTGCATAAAAATAAAACATCTTGAACTAACAAATCATTTTGACATATATTGAACCTGACTAACATTTTAATTTAATTTGAATTTAAATCATTGATAGAAACCAGAACAAATTGATGAATAATTGAGGGTTACAAATATCTTAATAAAGAAAGACCAGAACAAATTATGTTATTAATAATAGGGACAGTTATAAATGTTATAGAACTCAATTGAAAAATTGAAAATATAAGATTGGTTGGTGCTTACATTTTGAGGACATGTTCCTGCAGGATTGTACTGTCTTCCTTCAATGCAAATGAATCAACATCAAGAGCTGCCACATTCCCAGTCGATGAATCAGCCACAAACAACAAGACCTTGCCAGTGGTCAAGCAGGTCACCCACTTTGCTACCTTAGAACTACAATATTAAAGTTATTCAATTCTGAATTCTACAAAATTGGAAACTGTTGGTATCCATTATAATTATGTAATCACATTTATTGTAAAAAAAAGAAGATCTTTCAAACCTATCAGAAGGAATGAAAGATGCAATGGAGGTCAGAGATGAGTTACCATCTTCACTCACATTCATTTCCCATTTGTAGATTGATCTATCAGCATGTAATGTTATCAGCCTAGCCTGTCAACCAATTTATAATAAAAAAGATTTTAGAGCAATTCTTGTTATTTTTACTTAAAATATTCTCACAGTAAATATAAATATCAAAGCATAGTAACCTCTTCATTAAGGAAATGCATACATTCAACTGCACTACCCTCTGGATGCTGGGCTACAAACTGAACTCCAGGCTTTCCATAACTAATTTTAATAAATAATCAATATCAAGCATCATTGAAAATACAATGGAATTTTTAATTGTAAATAAATATACACTGTAACATACATTCTTATAGCACCAGTCTGAGATCCAATGGCAAGAAAACTTAATTTGCAGTCGTAAGCGGCCGCTGTTGGCTGAGGTGGCGGACCATAGACTAAGCCCTTAAATTTTTTAAATAAAATTATTTGAACAAATTCATCCAATTTTTGAATTAATCATTGAGCAATTGCTTATTTAAATTTATACATAATTTATTACTATATGAAATATAAATAAATGAATATCGCGCCTATAAAAACACAAACGTAAAAAAACAACATCAAAGAAAGAATGATTAAAATTAAAAAGCATTAAGTAATAAGAAAATTACCAACCTTCTTGTATTGAAACAATTCGTTCAATATCTGTCTTCTGGCCTCGGACTCCTTGCCTTTGATCAACTTTAATCTTCTCAAAACTTCCATTCTGTTAACGAATGTAACAAAAGAAATATGAATGCAAAAAAGTTTCTCCCAGGTTTGCCGACGCAAATTTAAATAACAATGCACATGATGCTTCTTATGAGAAAGCGTACCACATACATTCAGTGCGCTTTATTTGTATAAACAAATCATGAATGTCTGTTTCATTTGCATAAGATTTGGTAATTTTGCAAATCAATTTAGCAATAAAAATCCAACCTTCTGTTAACCGGGTGGAAGAATCAAATTATTTAATCAAAAATTTGCGAAAATTATTCGAAATCGCTGCACGAGACAGTTCAAACAGGTTCTTGCGCTAAATGATAGATGAATTGTCTGACCTCATTACAGCCTCATTAACATATCTTGCAAAAGAAAATTGCAGATTCTTCGTCGAAACGGAATAATCTGGCAACAGTCTTAAATGTTTTTTGGATTTTTAGAATTTTCTCAGTGAACCCATTTGAACGATTTTTAAATTTTTTTGTTAAGGTATACGAACAAAGGGTTTGTTCTAGCCATGTGTTATTTTTGTGCTAAATAAACGATCCAGACACTGCTGCATGCCCCATTCGATACAAACCATATACCATATATGCTTAGGATACAAACTAATTGGAAGATTTCGATAGAATTCTTTTTTTCACGTAATATATTTTGACAGTGTATAAAATATTTTGTTTGACAAAGTCTCTAGATCTAAAATTTATCAATCAATCAATCAAAAATCCACTTTCATTCCAAGAGACCGTCATTCTTAGTATGCGTCTCAACCAGTCCCCAGTCCTGTCATCCATCGATCTCTTGACAAATCTTTTAACTTTTCCAGTTTTTTATTCTTTTAATCTATTTTTTGGCATCCTGTGAATATGGTCAAAGTTCAAAAAGTCCAATTTTTTGTACATCGACCATTTTTTATATACTATATTAGTTTTCCAAGGTAATTCCTTAATTCCGTTTTTTAGCTTCTGTCTTCAGCTGATTTTAACCAATTTGTAGCTCTCAATTCCAAAGAAGGGCAACGAGAATGATTAAGGAGGGTCGCGGTATGACATATGAAGACAGATTAACTGTTTGTGGATTGACAACATTAGAAAAAAAACAAGAGGAGATTTGATTCAGGCATATAAAATTATCACTATGAAGGAGAATTTGAAATCAGCGACATTTTCTGAGCTTAAGATGAACAGTAAAACAAAGTGGCTTAAATATAAGATCTTTAAAAAAAGTTCGGGATCGATAAATATAAATTTTTCAGCTGCAGAGTTGTCAACGAGTGGAATAAACTGGGAAATGAAATAATATGCGCGGAAACAACCAATAACTTTAAAGCAAACTTGGCAAAAGTAGGAGTGGTCCTGTCACAGACTTAGTCTTCTTGGATCACTATAAAAAAACCTTTGTTATGTTATATGTTAAACGCTTCGAATCTTTTTATCTTGTAGAGTTTTGCATGTACGCAGTAGTGTAGAAAACTACTGTGTTGTAGAAGGTGGAACATATCAACAACCACGTCATCCATGCTCTACTACCACCAATCAAAACCACTAAACAAAACCTTCGTTAACGCAAGCATAACTATCAAGTCGCCACTTAATCAACATATCAGGATAAGATGTTCATCACAAGACACCTTAAATATATTAGCACTTTATCATTTACTTAATTTAGTTTTTTTCATTAACTAGTCTATTGATAAATTATTTTATTTATTTGCCTTTTTAAACCATTACTTTATTTTATTTTCCATACTTTTCATAATTAAACATTTTTTTCTCCGTAATTTATTTTTCGTTATCATTTTATACTATTGCCTTACATGTTGTAACAGTTTCTGCGTTTGTCTGACTCAGATATTTTAAAGAATAATAAAAAAAAACAGATTTGCATTGTTTTCATCATTTATTTGACAGATGTTATTACAATTTTTTATCAGTACGCTTTTCCTAAATTTATTCAATATTCTCTGTGCAATAGCTATTTTCCGTTAATTTCTTTAAAGCAGTTGTTGCCGCTGTCATATACAAAGAATAATATGAAATGATGTTATGAAATCGCTAGTTATAAAACTGTTTTATTAAAAAACTAAATTTTTTAAATTTTTAATTGAAATTTCGCACCGTTTTTATTTTTTCCACTAATTATTCTCGTTGGTATGCATTTTATAATACTTGCTGCTTTCATTTACCATCCCAATCAGTTTGGTAAGCCATCAACACGGGATGCTAAAGAGTCAATCTTAAGCAAACCGGAGATTTGTTATAATTCTGTCTCAAATATTATGTCTATCATCAATCATATTTTCAATTTTTCATTGACCTTTCCAACAATGACGTGGAAAGTATAGTGATGAAAATGGATAGCCCTGTCAAATTCAAATTGTTAGCTTGGCCTAATTTCTAATCTATGCACTGACTCAAACTGCTATTGCTGAAGTCTATTTAATACTTTGACGTCGAAAATATTTTCTGATACCTGGATACTTATATCTAAATTTAATAAAAATTAACATATATGCCTGGATACTTTACACAATTAATAATATATATATATGTGTGTGTGCACTTTCTAGAGTTGCCCTGCCCACAATACCTCGTGCCAGACCAAATCAAATGATTTTTGAAATTTTTGACATTTTGGTAACAAAACATTTTGCTATCATACATTTTGTTTTCTATCAAGTTCCACATCATTTTAATGCTGCGGGAGCTGAAGAAGTCTTTAGTCCCAGTGTTAAAAAATTTTATAAAGATTTTGTTTAATTTCGCCTTAAACCTATCGAATTTCTCTATTTGTAGGAGATTCAGTCCCTAAATATTTTAAGTATATGATCATTAAGATAACACAGCATTAATTATATACTATACAAGAAGTGCAATGCTAAAAATTAGTTTTTTAGGCGCTTGCTTGTATTACTTTGTGGCATTTAGTCGTACCAAACAATTTTTGAAATTCATTTTTTGACATTATTTACGGATTAAATTTTTCTTTAAATATGAAAAAGCGCAAAAAGTTAACGTTCTGTTCTAGACCTTTTACTTGTTCGGAGTGCCACAGATCGTTCACGCAACAGAGCAGCCTAGCAACACACAAACGAACGCACAGTGGGGAAAAACCGTTCAGCTGTACGGTCTGCGGGCGTGAATTTGCGAATGGGGGCAACATGAAGATTCACATGAGGGTTCATACCGGGGAACGCCCCTTCGAATGTATGTTTTGTCAACGAGGGTTCAGTCAGCAAAACAGTCTGAAGGCTCATCTGCGAATACACAGCGGTGAAAAACCGTTTTCCTGTGATCAGTGTGACAAAACATTTCGAGTTCTTGGAAATTTAAGAAAGCATCAAGCAGTCCATTCGGAAAATGTTCCTTATGCTTGTGAAATTTGCGAAAAAAAATTCAAACTGAAGTCGGATTTGAAGAGACACAAAAAGACCTTTCATGAACTAAATGTGTCATCAAACGATGTGGACGAATTCCTAGCTACTCCACATCTGCTGGCAAACAATATACAGTCTTCATCAACGTCAATCATTGATAACCAAATAAAAGTAGAACCTGGCTTTGATAGTGGTGAAAGTGTCGACCTGGCAAACAAACGAGATGTAGTAGCATTTAAAGAGGGCTTAAGTACTATTGACATGGAGGCTGTTAATTCTGTGACTGGGATTCATAGTTATACATAAGTATTGACTATCATTTTTACTTTTTTTGTTTATTAAATCGTGCTCTTGAAATCTAATATATTTGATTTGGTTTTCTTATTTTGTTTTAAAAGACTACATTTTAGCTTATTTATTTAATCAGTAAATAATCAAGATAATAATGAAAAGCATTTTATGGGTAATATGAGTTATGATAATATAAAATTTGAAGAGCATATTTGTTTTTTAATTGAAATTTTAAAGCCTGGTTGAACTTCAATCCTTTATATACATATATAATATAAATATATCTTTGTGTGTTTTTGTGTGTATGGGAATATAATTATGCATTTTATAATAATTTGATATTAGGCTGTTGATAGCCTCTGCTATTGATAGCTATTGATATATTTGTACTTGTGTGTGTGTGTGTGTATGTGTGTGTGCTTGTTTCATGTAAATGCTTAATTGAATGCATGTACTTATAGACAATATATATATATATATATATATATATATATATATATATATATATATTTATATTGATATATATATATATATATATATATATATATATATATATATATATATATATATGGAACGAAAGACGAGTACAACAGTTCTGAAGAACGGTTTTGTAAATTTAACAACGTAATGAAGTTAAAATTAGATTTGTATAATGTGTTTTCAAAGTATTTGTTTGTAAAATACTTTATAGTACGACGCTGCAAGTACGAATAATGTACAAAGTTACTAACTCAGTTTATTAAAAATACGTATATGAAACGTTTTGTACTATTAACCTTTGTCTTCCGCATTAATATGTTATATAGTGGCGTGCTGTTGAAACTTTAAATGCATCGTGTTTGTGGTGTGTTAAAGCGTAAAATAGTTAGTTACTAATTTTTCGACTGGGTTTTTTGTAAATTTGTTGAACCAGTTTCAACTACGTACCAACTGCTTAGCCTTTCAAATCTGCTCTCACGTTCCAAAATACATGATGACCGCTCAACATACAACAGATGGTAAATTAAGTTACGCGACGTTGGCAGCTCTACAGATTGTTTCTGGTGGATCCGCAGGTTAATTTTCAATTGTTTCGATATAATAAAACTTCTAAAATTGGGTTGCAATTTAGTGGAATAATGTCAAGTGAAGGGCTTTCCATAAAGGGTGTCACGCTTTTTAACGTTTTCTTTGAGCTCCCTCCCCCGTGTCACAAACTGTCACAAATCTACCAACCCCCCAAAAATAAGCATGTGAATTGTTCTATGTATTTTGTTTTTTATTGATATCAAAATAACGAATGACAAGTTTATATGAAGATAGTTTGATATATAAATGCTTTACCGTAGTTAAAATATAACGAATTAGTATTAACCTCTACAGCTGCACAGCGGTAAACTTTATCGATGGCATTTAAATTTGACTCCTTTAATTAATATTCATGAGCTATTTGCTCGCTTGAAACTTTAACATTCACTTATGCGCATAGATATGAAAAAAATTATTTATTGTTTTGTTTATTTAAAAAAAGGCCGTCACACTTGCGTTTACCCCCCCCCCACTAGTCACAAAGTGTCACAAATATTTGGATCCCCCATGAAGCGTGACATCCTTTATAGACGGCCCGTAAAAGCTATTGTCACTAAAAAAAGATGCTAACTCGGTCAATAAGTCAATGGCGGCGACCAAAACTGAATCACAATTTGTCTTCGTATAACAATGGTCAATACCAATCAATAAATCGCTAAAAGAAACAATATTATTGTCAATAATATTATTCACGTGATGGTTTGCACGTATAACATGAGAAAAAATATTTACATTCGTAAACAGTAACGCGTTACACACTTAAGCATTCAGTAGTCGAACTTTCCTTTGTCTCCAAACTAGCTAGGTCATCTCTCACTAACAACTCGCCAATTTCTGATAACCATTCCGCCGTCTTGAGTTTATTAATTTTTCTAAACCATTTTTCAGGGGTTTTCTATTGTGTTTATTTAGGCTACTTTACGGACTTTGTTACAACCTTAAAAAGACAACGGCAGCGGTTTCTACTCATTTTAATATTAATAATAATAATAATAACGTCATTTAGGAAGCGCGATGAAAACAACTAAAACGACACCGGAAGAATATAATAAATAATCAAGCTCGGCAATTGGATAAAAATAATAAAGAGTAACAACGTTACTCATTAAAATTATTGTTGGTTAATTAAATGCCGTTTTAAAATAATGAGTTTGGAGTGATCACAACATTGATAAATATATATTACATGCATCGATGTTCTTCTCTTTAGTGACAATAGTAATCTTAATCTTCTTCTTGCTCTTGACTTTTCCTCTGCTTTAATATTACTGATTCTTGTCTATCTTGGTTTTCTTCTTATCTTTGTAGTCGTTTTTCTTCTGTTGTTCTCAATAATTCTACTTCTAACTCCTCTACTCTTACTTTCGGGGTACCTTATGGCTCTATCCTTGGCCCTTTTCTATTCATACTCATACTTTTGAACTACCTTGTATTATTAATAATTTTTCTTTTACTAGTCAACTATAAGCTGATGATTCTTATATTTATACTTTCTTTCATCCGTCTAAATCTCAATTATATTCTTCATAATCTATTTCTATATCTTTCTTCAATTATCGCTTGGTCTGACTCTATGTGTCCAAAACTTAAACCTTCTAAATTTGAATTAATTTGTTTTAATAAATCTAAACACTCAATTACTATTCCTCTTATTACCTCTAAAAATCATGATGTTTCTCACAAGTTTCGTAGTCTAGGCTTTATCTTTGATTCTAGTTTGTTTTTTTCTTCGCATATAAATAGTGTTGCTAGAAGTTCTTACTTTCATCTATGCAGTATAAACAACTTTTGCTTTTTCTTGATGATCCTACTCTTCTCTTTCTTGTTACTTCGTTAGTTTTATCTATGATTGATTATTGTAACTCGCTCTACTATGGTCTTCCTGATTCTATACTCTATCCTTTAAGTAAAGTTTTTAACTCTGCTGCTCGTCTAGTTGCTCGTGCCCTTTTCTTTTCCCATATATCTCTATATCTTGCTCTCTTGCACTGGCTACCTATAAAATATAGAATAATTTTCAAAATTTGCACGTTTATGTATAAGTCTCAATCTAAATTATTTCCTAAGTACTTATCAGATATATTAATTGAACCTAAACGCCCCGGTTTACGATCGTCTTCTTGTCCTCACTTCTTCTTAACTCGTGTTAAACACTCTTTTGCTAAATCTGCATTTGCTTTTTCTGGCCCTTTTCTCTGAAACTCTCTACCTACTTTTCTGTCTACTTCTCCATCACTTACGAAGTTCAGAGCGAATCTCAAGACCCATCTGTTTGCAAAATTCATTGAGGAGTGCTGTTGAACATCGTTGAAATAGCGCTTTATAAGCTAATTGATTCATAGATTGATCGTTATTTTTGGTTTAATTTGTCTAAAAAATCACTTAGACAATTAAATTTAATAAAATTTGCATCAGATGAATGCTGTAACAGTAAATTAAGATTGTTAATTTGTAATAAATAAATAAATGAATTATTTAAGTAAATGAATCAAAATGTTTTTACGTTTGTATTATAGGGTAACGTGGGGCAAAACGCCGCATGGGGTAAAAAGCCTAAATCCAGCTTAACTATGGCTTCTTGCCCCACCCTACCCTACATAAGACAATTTTTAATTTTATTGTTAAGTAATTGTCACTTAAAAATTTGAATGTGTGAGAATTTATAGACAATTCAGTTTTTACGGATTTCAACAGGCTTCGTGGAGATATGTCTGATGCACCCGCTCGACCTTATCAAAACTCGATTTCAAATCCAACGGGGTATTGACGATCCGAACCGGTATTTGTCGATGTTTGATTGTATTAAAAAAATCTACCGAATCGAAGGGTTTGTCTTTGGAAAATTTTTTGTTTTTTTAAAGTCTTATTTATATGTGATAAATGCTGAATATATACATATAGACACCATTATCGTTATTTAAATGGTACTAAACTCTTCATCTAATCTCCTTTATACCGAACGTTTAACATCAAATTTTTTAACTTTCATCGCGACATCTTTAGTTCAAACTGCTGCATTATTTTTTTAAATTATTTTAAAATAAATTAATTATAATTCTATTGCTAAATGTTTTCAGTCCACTCTCCTTTTACAAAGGAATCCTTCCTCCGATACTTATGGAAACTCCAAAAAGAGCCATAAAATTTTTTTCTTTCGAACAATTTAAAAAGTTGTTTTCATTGGGAAAAGATCATCATACGTTTATTGTTGGTAATGGCGTGTTGTTGAATTTACTTTTTAATAAACTCAGTTTTTCTAAACAAGCCCCATCATGTAACTTTAATTAATGTCTGATTTCATTGTCATCTGTTAAGAATGTGTTTATGAAATAAGAGATTCGAGCAAAAAGGCGCAAAATTATTAATATTTCTGAATTTTGCTTGTTTAGTTGACAAAAATTAACAATGAAATGTTAATTTGTGATGTATATATGTTTCACAGAATTTGACGTTTGCTGGTCTCTGTGCGGGACTAACTGAAGCAGTTTTTGCCACACCCTTCGAAGCCGTGAAAGTTCAACTGCAAGCTGAAAGAAATCAATTTACACAGGTTTTTATTTGTACGCTTTGCAGTTTTATACTTAAAAATTTTCAAAATTGTCTAAAATTTTAATCTAATGTTTTGCAATTGTGCATCACGATTTTAGAATTTGTTCAAATGTTTAACGATCAGATTGATAATGAACGTTGAGTGAATTGTTTGCAGCAACAATCAGCCTATTCAAAAGCTCGAGAAATCATTAAGACCTCAGGCTTAGGTACAACTGGTTTGTTCAAGGGCCTCTCGTCCACTATGATTCGTAATGGAGTTTTCAACATGGTTTACTTCAGTTTCTATCACAACATGGTCAAATTCATTCCAAAAAATGATAAGGTAGATGATGGTGATTTGATAACATGGAAAATTGCTGCTGTGTTCTATGATTATGTTAATTTTCATTTTTTGCTAATTTGTGTCAGTGCATAGGGACTAAAAAGTGTGCCTTGGGCAGATCCTTCACTTCGACTCCTTAACTAATCATTGTAAATAAAAAAGTTTTTTTTATGATTTTTTCAAAAATGGGCCGCTTATTTCATCATCTCAATATTCAATTATAGTTAACAATGTCATTAACGGCACGATTTAGATATTGAAATAAAAAAGTGGTCATTTTAATATTTTATCCTATTTTTAAAAAAGCTAATTAAAATGTTTGGCATAGTATTTTTTGTATAGAGAGTTAATTAAAAAGTGCCCTTTTGAAATGGCACCCTGGCCAACTGGCAGGCTTCCCACCCCTTCGCTACGTTACCTCCTCAAGTGTCAGTCAGCAACATTGGTTTGCTCATTTGCTGACCTCAATCTATTGTATGAGAGTATATGATTAATGCATACATTCAATCATGTATATTTTTGTCTTTGAATATGAGGTAGTAGAAAGGAAACTTCGTATATCAAACGCTAGAGTGCAAACAAAACACAATATATTTACGTCTAACACATTCTAAAGCATAGTTTTATTCTTATAAGTAATTAGTTTATGTAACAGTAACACAATGTTTATACACTTAATGAATACATTTTTTTCAAAGCTATTTCTTGCTGACCAGTTCACTGACATTAAGCTTTGATGAATTATTAAATTATTAATCAAGAACGACATAGCTTATCGTCTGGGCATCGGTTTCTTCGCGGGAACATTCGGTTCTGTGGCCAACATTCCATTCGACGTTGCAAAAAGCAGAATACAGGCTCCCCAACAGTTCAACATCATCATTACTGCCAACAACAACAGAAGCGGCAACTGCAGCACCTTCGATGGCCACACTGTTAAGTACAGAACGTGCCTTGCCACTGTTGCCATGATTTATAAGGAAGAAGGGTTCGTTCTATGATGAATGCTGTTATTAATGTTCTTCATTGCGTCCTTTCTTGTGTAAGATGTAAATGATTGTTTGACATTTTAGGTTACAAATACATTGCTGTATATGTTAGTGAGAAATATTCGTTTGAAGCACGTTCGAACAAATGTTAATAGTTAGGGTTAGTACAATATAATTGTTAAGATTCGTACATAAAGTGATAGTAATTGTTGATTCAAAGTTTGAGCCTTTGAATTCCTTACATGTTTGAATGAATGTTCTGTGTATAATAATTTGACTTGTTGTCCACTAAACGCAGGTTCCTGGCTCTTTACAAAGGATTGCTGCCAAAGGTCATGAGACTCGGTCCTGGTAAGTTAAAATTTATAAAATAATAATAATTAATAACTTTGTTTATATATTAAATTTTAGATATTAGATACATTTTTTAATTCTTTCTTTCTCCGCATGACAATTGCAAAAGTTCTATAAAAGCATTTTGTTTGCGTGACTGTGTGGGTTGATCGCTGACCATCAACGACTCTTCTTCCATCGACTTCATTACTCACTTTGATAGGTGGTGCTATAATGCTGGTCGTATACGAGAAGGTGCACAAGGAGCTGTCGTCCTGGGTAATGAATTTATGAGGGGATGACGTGACGAAAGTTTTCCATGATAACTCGCTGTAGTAATGAGCGATTGATGATTGCAAGAATGTTCAAGCGCTTCCAATTTGTTTCGTAAATAATGGAATACATTATATATTACACATTAAATGCTATAAAATATTTCTGGAAATGGTGAAATTTGCGTTATTCGTCTATTTTTTTATTGAATTTCTGAACATTAGATTTTCTAGAAACTAATAAATGAATGGAATATTTTGATCTGTAACACAAAATCATGTTTCTTATGTTTCCGGATTAACTGCTTAAGGAAACTATGGTTTTGAGCCAAACAATTGATCAAAAACATTTAAAAATGTCCACATTCGAGCAAAATGTTAGCAGCGGATAAGACACTCAACGGTCTTCTAGTACATTTTTTTACTTCAAATTCATAAATGTGAGTCATAATTCTAAGTAGCAAATCGCTGGGGTTTTATAATGTTAAAAAATGAAACTTTTTGTTATTTGGCATGTAATGGTTTCCTTAATGCAAACCTTCGATTGTGTACTTGTGCACGCGATGGCTTATATTAAGCTACTTAAACAAGCGTACATCCGAGTTATGTACGTGCATTTAATAATAATTTTGTTCAAATGTTCATGAAAGGTCTCAGACAATCCTCTGCATCATGCAATTTCATTGAAAATTGTGCTTAACGATAAAATAACCAGATGGACAAATTTTATGAATATTTAAAAATTAATAAAAAACCATTTGTATGTTTGAAGTTATGGAAAGATATATTTTATTGGAAACAAACGCTACAAAACAGAGTTGGACACAACCGCCTGAGTTACACCAAACGAAATAATCTACGCCCGTGACGTGACATCATCTTTGAAGGAAATATTTTCAACGGGAGGATGTTTTCAACAGCTTTATGATTGTATACTAAAGTTTAATTCTGGAAAATTTAGGAATTGTCAACTCAAAGAGTATAAAGATTTTTTGTGATTTTGTCAACCATAAGCATAAAAAATTTCAGATGATTACATGAAGTGATTCTGTTTATTTAAGAAAGGATAGATGCGTGTGGTGGGATGGTGTGGTGTGAAAGTGAGTGACAATTGAAATTTGTTTGTTCCAATTTGTTGACCTCCTTCATATCAACATTGCCATCACCGTTCCCACCATCTTAGATTAAACTCTGCTTGGATTCGATTGCAAGGAATTCCCGCCATTCAAGGCTATGTGTGTGTTTAATGCGTTGGTGCACGTGTTTTGCATACTTCATGTTTGTTGCCGATGTCTCTAAGATATTTTGAAAAAATGTTATATATAATATACATGATATATATATATATAATATACAAATGACTGATAATAACAGACACATATATCCACTTGGGCGCAAATTAATCGAGGCATTATAGCATCATATGAGCCGATGGAGGACGCAAGCGACACCTCCACACATCGCCCAGCAAAACGACGGCTTACAAAATTACAAATAGGCTATTTCCATCATTCCATCCTCGCTCCGTCCCACCGGCTACTCTTCTTTTTGTTCATTCCATCATTCCAAACGTGATGTTATGTTGATGTTGTTGACGATGTTGTTAATATCGTTGTTGTTGTTGACTTTATTTTATTTCGATATTGCATAAAAAAAATGTAAATAAAAATACAAAAACTCCATATTTACCAACTGGAAAATAAATTATTTTGCGAATGAAAAAAGGGACTTTTTGTAAAACGACCAAAAAAAAGAACGAGCAACTGCCTGCTTATTTATTTTTTAAATAGATGTTGAGAAATAGGCGCGTCTAAATGCTGGTTGGCAGCAAATATCGCTTGAGGCAAATGCTGCTCTAGTGTTGCGTTCATTTTCTTTCTAACATTTTAAACTTCTATGCGTAGATGTTGATGTTGTTTGATATTTGTAGCGTAGCTGTCAATGAATTACGTGTTTTTGGCAATCACCTCATAAAACCAAATTACACCACACCACGCCACACACACCAACCACATACATTACACCACACCACACCACGCCACACCACACCACACACACCACACCACACACATTACACCAAGCCACGCCACACACACCACACCACACCAAGCCACGCCACACACACCACACCACACACATTACACCACACCAAGCCACGCCACACACACCATCCCACACCAAGACACGCCACGCCACGCACACCACACCACACCAAGCCCCGCCACACACACCACACCACACACATTACACCACACCAAGCCACGCCACACACACCACCCCACACCAAGCCACGCCACGCCACGCCACACGTCATTCTACGTTCAAAATTCCCACGAACTTTAATAGTCCGGTTGATCACTATTTGATATGATGATGACGATGATAACGCGTGGGGGAAACGAATACACTAAAAATGATGATGACGATGATAGCAATGATGACGATGTTGATAATGGTGATGATGATAATAATGTGGTGATGTTGATGACGGTGAGAAGAACGGAGATGACTATGTAAGATGCTGATAAACACCTGTGCGTGTATAAATATATTATTATATTATTATTATTATTCGAAAATTTGTATATCGCTAATTACAAACAAAATGTTTATCAAAAGCACTGTCTAAAAAACAGTTGAATTATCGATAAACCAAATTTTATAATGAAAACAAAAATGATTTCAATAACTTCTTGAACGATTTTTCCGTCAGTTCGGGCTGTCTTAGATAACTTGGTAGACCATTCCAAACAGCTGGTCCAATTACTGAGAAACTTCTCTCCGCCATTTTCAAGTTGGTTTGGGGCACACATAACAAGTTGCTATCATCAGACCTTAATCAGACAATTTTAAAAGACAGTTGTTTCGGTGCATGCATTTCTTTCAAATAAACTGGCGCCATTCCCTTCATACATTTGAACATGATTGTTGATATTTTGAACAAAATTCTTTTTTTGACCATCAACTCAGTGCAGTTATCTTATATATATAAATATATATAATAGTGAAATGAATAGCCTCGATTGATGAATAATGATTAAGTGATGATGTTTTCGATGTAATTAATTAGTTAATTAAAATTAATCAAATAATTAATTAATTAACTGATATTTATAAAAAAGTGATGATGCGCCAAACATATTATAATAAAACAGATGTAATAATAATAATAATAACAACAACAAGTTAAAAATGATAAAAACTGAAAATAATCATTTCATCAACATCATCAACTTTAAAATGTGAAGATGATGACACTAAAGAATGATAACGTGAAAACTGATTTTAAAAAATGACGAAAAGGGATACAACAGAGATGAGATTATGCAACTTTTACAACAGTTGCACGCAGACGATAATGAAATGATTATATGATTGGAGATGATGCAACGACAACATGATGAAAATTAACTTCACTTCTTAGTATGGTATAAAACAGAAATTGCAGCAACAAATAATGATTGAATGATGATGTTTGAATGATAATAATAATTGAATGATGATGATAATAATTGAATGATGATGATGATGATCGAATGATGATGATTGTTTGATGATGATGATAATTGGATGATGATGATGATTGTATGATGATTGTATGATGATGATGACGACGATTGTATGATGATGATGACGACGATTGTATGATGATTGTATGATGGTGATAATGATTGTATGATGATGGAGAATCACAAAGCCCTTCCGGAAACTCGGAAGATTGGAAATTAGTCACGATTACGGTTGATATTGTGTTGCTGGGGATGCAGATAGTTGGATGGACAGGCGAATGAATAATTGAATGAATAGATAGATGGATAGATGAATGGATGAATAGATAAATAGATAGACAGACAGACAGACGACAGACAAACAAACAAACAAACAGACAGACAGACAGAGAGACAGACAGAGAGACAGACGGGGATCAGATAGATAGATAGATAGATAGATAGATAGATAGATAGATAGATAGATAGATAGATAGATAGATAGATAGATAGATAGATAGATAGATAGATAGATAGATAGATAGATAGATAGATAGATAGATAGATAGATAGATAGATAGATAGATAGATAGATAGATAGATAGATAGATAGATAGATAGATAGATAGATAGATAGATAGATAGATAGATAGATAGATAGATAGATAGATAGATAGATAGATAGATAGATAGATAGATAGATAGATAGATAGATAGATAGATAGATAGATAGATAGATAGATAGATAGATAGATAGATAGATAGATAGATAGATAGATAGATAGATAGATAGATAGATAGATAGATAGATAGATAGATAGATAGATAGATAGATAGATAGATAGATAGATAGATGAATGAATAAATTGGTAGATGATGAGTGATAAAAAATAGAGGGATTAAATAATGGATAGATCGATTAATGATTAGCAAAATGGATGAATGATTGGATAATGAATTAGATGAATAAAAAATGAAAAATGAGGGATAGTGAGTGGAGAAAAACGCTAGATAATATTGACGATGGATTGATGTTCGCGGTGCTTGTGACAATTGTAATTGACAGGACGGTCTTTCTATTGCTAACACAAAAACTCAAACAACAACTACATCGGCAGCAATAACAACTGCTGCTTTCTACTATTGCCCCTACTACATTTACTCACACTAATACCACTACCTCTATCTATACTACTACTGCCAAAGCTATTGAAGCAGCTACTACTACTACTACTACTGCTACTATTACTACTACTACTACTACTACTTTGGTAATACTACTTGCATAGACTACCACTATTACAAAAGAACCATTACTCCTACTGCTTAAAATATTCCTACTCCCACGACAACTACTTCTACTACAAGCAACAAAAATATGAACAATAATAATATTATTGTTAAAAAGTAAAATCAAATAAACTTACATTAACCAGAAGGACAATGGCAAAGATGACAGTCATATTATTTTTTGCATCCGGAAAACGTGATGACGATGACATCATCAGAATCATCGTTCAGTCAGAGCGGAGTTAATGAAATTGTATGAAGCAAGATATAACGTCTGTAATGTCCATCATCCGGATATTAATGGCAGAAGATGGATGGAACGATGCTACAATTTTTATTATTATTATTGTTATTATTATTGTTGTTGCTGTTATTATTGTTGCTGTTGTTATTATTATTGTTATTATTGATATAATTATTGCACTTTTAGCGCTATTATTATTTTTGACGTTGTTGACGAGGTCGACCTTGATCTGAAAAAGAATTGATAAAATCCCTGAAATCCGGAGT